TTAGACCTGGACACAGCACTCACTTCGCTTGGCCATGCCTGCCAGAGGCAAGCTGTCCCCCCAGTACATATCTTTATTCCAGTGATACAGATGAAACCATTTCACCCATATAAAATTCAATTTTAATGATTTTACCGATAAAGGTCATCTCTAATAAATACACTACATACAATTGCAATGATACAAAGAGTCAATGCGCATACCCGGCGCAGTTGACTAAAAATGCAAATGTGTGGAATCTGAAAATAGGACAAGGCTTTGGAACTGGCAGCAGTACACGTCGTGACATTATACTTGAATCCTATCTAAGATTCACCTACCATGAAATAGAGCACGAAGAGGTTCTAGAGTAAACACCCAACGCAGGGAGAAGAATTGCATTACTACCAAAGGGTTTAGAAACACATAATGGATTTATTGTGAAAACTCATGCTTATACAAGAAATACAGAAAAGACAACATAGACGCTTAAACGGCATGTCTGAAACATTGAAAGACTAAACTACACCTAGGTAGTAAACGTATGAAGACTTAGCGTGGCTCACGGCCATTCAGAAAGTCATGTACGGCAGTTCCCGCGTACGCATCAAAGACTGATGCGTCTGAACGTCACAAGTACAAACATGAGAAAAAGACACATTCTATTATATGAAATATAATAAGAACCCCCTGACAATTAAGAAAGACATTTGAAAACACCTTCGGAGTGTCTCCCGACCTCCGTAATGAAAAGACGAGCCAAGACAAGGCATTTTAATTAAAAACTCGGAAGCAATGGAAGGCCGAAGACTATTGGTAAACGCGTACACATGCGCATCAATGCATCAGGAAACGTTAATCATTTTGTGATGTCATCTGTCAAACCAGTAAACTGGGCCATAGAAAGAAACACGCGAGATCATGCCAAGCTAAGAATAGCTACGTCAGCTAACTCCGCGTACGCATCAAACACTGATGCGTTTGAAAATGAAAGACGCGACACTACAAAATCTGTAGTGTTCACAGAGATAGACTACAAAATATACCACACGTTCATTAAATTTCATATTTGTAATTCGGACCGAAGTATCCCGCATTAAAACACATGTAAAACGTAGATAGGGGTTCCTGGAGTATATAAGGAGTGCGCTGGCAGGTCAAAAGGCAAGCAATCGCCCCCCGTTGACCAGCTAGTTGCACTCCAAGTAGGAACTTAGGAGGTGGACAGTTGTAATCAATTAAAGGAGATTTCTTCGTGGTCAGAAAAGTACAGTGTGAACGAAGCCAGCGTGCTTGGGAGTCAACTTACTTGGAGACTTTTGAATAAGAAGTTTTAAAAACACAGTATCATTTAGACGAGACAGCGTACTCGTACCCTTGGTTTTGGAGCGTAGTGACATAATAAAAACTCACGGGAGTCATAAAAGTCAATTGAAGTCGTGTTTTGTGTTAATAAAAGAAACTGTGATCAAAGAACTTTGCATTTAAGAGACCAAGTTCCCAGAAAGACATACTTTGTTCTATTGAACTATTCTAAACCACACCTTATAATAAAAACCCGTTTTGAGACGAAATCTCTTGAGACTTAAACCTAAGAAGACAAAAGTGGTATTTCTTAATACCAAAGGCCCTCGAACTCGTGCACTGAGATTGTGATAGTGTGTGTGTGTGTGTGTGTGTGTGTGTGAGTGTTTAGGTGTTTAGGGTTTTCCCGATGCGCTTGATCCTTGTTTGCGTGTTTTGCACTTTCACGGTCATCCCCGTGCAATGCGTATCACCAGTTCTGGTGCACATTTTAAATCTCTGTTTTGGTACTGACATCTCATCAAATTTAAATTATTTAAATTATGCTCTGACCTGCACCTATGGTTTGGCACTCACTGCACTTGGCCAGCTTGCCAAAGGGAAGACCCTTGGACTATCTCATAAAAATCTAATAACTGTGGTGTACATGTTTCTCAAAGTTATACTAATCCCTGTTTTGGTACTTACACTTCATTTAAATTTTCAAAAATACACTTTAACCTGCAGTGGCAATGGCTGCACTTGGCCAGCTTGTCAGGGCAAGCCCCCTAGACCTCCCAGTGCATATGTTCAGTCCCCGTTCTGACACATACATTTTATCTTAATCATCAAAGTTAAACTGCCCTCATTCAAAGTTTTATTCTAATCCAAATCATCAAAGTTACATGTAAATCCACACCTATATAGTCCTACATTGTGTACTGTAACTGCAGTCAGCAGTACAAAGCTGGCCATATTTTTTGATTTTTCAACCCTTGGCTATGGCTTACACAGTACCATACCATGCATCATAAATTACAGTTCAGTAGGCCACTGATGAAAATCTGTTGAGCAACTAAAATCCACCTGAAATTTAATTTGCATAGATCTCAAAGTAGGAGAAATATACACCATCAATGGATATAGGGAAGTGGGGGGTAAAAAATAGTACAGAAAAAGCGAAATTGAGGCTGCTGTGACCACAAAAACACTCACAAAAAATTCATGCAGCACTACAGTCATCCACCTGCTAATGATACACCCAAAATGAGAAATTAGCTTCAACAGATTTGAGCACAACCTTTCTCTACAAAAACTACATGAAATTCTCAGATAAATGCCCTTCTATGACCATACCAAATTTCAGAATGTTTGACCCACATTTCACAGAGAAAAACTAAGATTGTAGGTGTATCATTGAGGGGTGTGACTTGTATTTGGCTATTTCTGAAAAACAGTCCATTTTGTATGCTCCACAGCTTTGCCAATTCTGCCTCAATTGCATCCAAATTATGTACGGTGGTAGATATGAGTTTGTACTACTTGTTACAACTTGTTTCGTAAAAGTCGGTCTAGTATTGAGCGAGATATTTGCTAGTCAAAAGTGTATCAAATGGGGGTGGTGTATCATTAAGGGGTGGATGACTGTATACAACACCTCAGGCCTAGACCTCTACGTGCTTCTGGGCCCTCAGAGGCCAATTATTTGTCTGGGGGTAATTGGCCTGCGAGGGGGTCTTCCTGAGCGCTGATGGTGCTGATGGCTATTAATACTCCCATCAAATCAAGATCGCTGACAGATCTGCTCGTTCCTCTCACTGACCACGATGTCTTTCGATGCTCCATTTCAGTTGTCATCCATCCACGATACTAGCCTCGTCGGTTCTCTTCACACAGAGCTCAACAGATGGCAAGATCCACTGTCCAATTGCCCGATGCGCCCAATGACAACAGTGCGGACCTGGTCACCTATGTATGTTGAATGCTGTCGAAAGGGCAGCGGAAATGATTATGGTCTGGGTAGTAAGGTAGGTACCGATTCAATGCATTTATCAGGATCACCGGTCTCTAGGAGACACGTACCAGGTGTGTGTCAACATAGCGCGTCCCATTTGCATCCCGTGAGCGTCTACTGGCGCTACGCACTCGACGATGGCCTACATCCATGAACACTTGGAAAGAGCCAACGAAATGAGCCCAGTCTAATCACTCTTGAATAATCGGGCAGGTAAGTACCTGATTCATCTCACAAAACTTCAGGAGGCAACCCACACCTTCGTACTAAAGATCGTCTGGATCGACTGATCTATTTTCTTCAACTTCCCCTCTATTTCTCTATTCTGAGTCTCCCATTACACAGTATTTATGGGTTGTTTTACTATTACAGATCAATGACACTTCTACAAGCCGAATTACGATTGGAACGACGGCTCAATACACACCCATCCATATATTTGCCCATCGCGATCGCCCCCATGTAAGCAGCTGAATCACATCGGAATACCGTGTGCTGAGACAGTTTATGAGAAGGCTTTTTGAGTACCTCTAGTCTTAGTATTGTTTGCCATTGATCTGAATCATCAGCTTTCATTTTAGTGCGCACTCCTTCCTGTAGTATCAGGATCATTTCCCGATTCCTACCTTTGTCCCTACCCTCTATGTGAATCATAACCCATTATTCCTCTCCATCGGTCATGTTTTACGGATCTATGTTGCATCCCTCATGGGAGGAATTCACAGGAAAGGTTGAAGTTCACGACTGAAAGCTCCTAGTGCCATATTTCTTTCTATAACTTCCCCCCCGTTCCAAGCCCTCTCCTTGAGAATATATAGATTTGAGGTAGACATCACTACAACACTTTTACACTGTGATACTCATTGTATTCCTGTTTCATCCAACTGAGAGTGAAATGAAAAATTGAAGAGATGACGAAGCGGAGACTTCAACGTGCGAAGAAAAACAAACATCAAAGCCATTCATTCTACCTGGAGCGCCATTCAATAATATTAGCCTTGTAGAAATATAGGATTGACCTCTAGAGTTGTGTTCACTTTAATTTGGGCTGATTCTTTTGAAAGTCTAGCCGTTGTAGGACGAAAGCGTCTCTACTATCCTTGAAACGATAATCTTTGGCAGCCTCTGATGGCTCTGGCTTGTCTGACCTTTACTCCGGAAAAAGTTACGATTTGACTTGCTTGCACTTTTTTCCTCACGCCATCCCAAAATCAATTCGGTAGAGTTATTCTTCATACTTTGAGCTACATTACAGCCAATATTCATAATTTTCTCGTTTTGGGTGAAACTTGAAATACACAAATAAGAGATGTTGTAACACACTACAGCCTTTCATTTAGAATGTACAAAGACATTTGGAGAAGTACGGATTGGAGGGGGAATCAGAAATCGTAATCAGGAGGAGTCATTCCGCAACTAACCCCACCCCATTATTCCTCTCTTTTCCGTCCCCTCTCTGTTTCAGCATCCGCTTGAACCAACATAATCACAATTGATTCTGCCTGCCTATAACTGTGATCATGGTTGCTAAATATTATAGGATGTTGGGTAGCATACTCTGGACCCCAGCTGCCTAAGAGGACACGTCACGAGTTGCATTCAGAATCATTCATCGAGCATGGGGAGGGCACTCTCAAATGCTGAAAATTCTTTCTACTACACTTAAGAAACAATACTTTCAAAGCTCCTCATTTTCCGATGAGGGCTGCTAACGAGGCACAACAAACACCGGAATATAACAAATTTTTATAAATTTCCTAAACATTGGGTGATTGAATCGATTACTGACAACGGCGGAGGACAGATTGACTGTAATCATAGTTTGGGTATGTGATCCATGTGTTATAGATTGAGCCAGGGGGGGGGATGAGAAATGGGGCCATGCCAGTCCCAGCAACGGTTTTTGAGGAGGTTCTGATGCAAAAAAATTCTTCTAGTCCGGATCCTACATAGTTGGTTCATGAGGATGGTAGAGGTCAAGTAAAGGTACCAACAATTCCTGACAGGAGGTGCACAAAGCGAGCGGGAGGAATGGGCGCGGGATCCTGGCTGTTGGCAGTCACGGCAATGCCTAGAGTGCTAGCGCTTCAGTCACGACTAGCAGCCTGACACCTTGACGCTCGAGCTATTTTTAGACGTTAGTAAAAGAAGCAACCAAATTTGGATTTGGAAGCGCAGTGATAGATCGGAAATAACCCCAGAGGCCAATTACCACCATCAAAAGAATTGGCCTCTGAGGCCTTCTGTCACTCAGAAGCGTCAGGCCTGAAGTGGTATACAAAATTTACTATTACAGAATGTGGTTGGGAGCAATGTTCTGTGGTTGTGGTCACACCATGTGACATTCCTGGGAAACACCGCTGACGCAGCTCAGTAAAAGACAAAGAGGCTGCTTACATGATCTATTATGTAATAACTGTCAACCGTCCTCTCTTTATATATTAGATCGTCGTACATCATTACTAAGTGCGTAGAAATCGACTTGTTTGCAAGCTTGTTGGTGGGCAAAAACAACCAAAAACAAACTGCAAGCTTGACAACTGAAAGTGCGACTCGCTTGCCCCTTAAACTTTATTCAGGTGTTACTGTATTATCCACCGCTTGATCAAGTACAACCGACAAGCTTTGAGCTCCAAGCAGTTGGACTTCCATTTCATCACTGCATTCCACAAGTTTTAACCTGCTCACAACCTTCAACTTTTTGAAGTGTATGTGTCAAAATCTCCAGACGATGGATTTACTCCCGCTCGACCTTCAATTTCTCATCCAGAGCTTCCTCGACCCTGGCGACATTGTTTCGTTGAGAATGGTGAAGCCGATCTCTCTGTATATCAAGTCACTGACCTCTGAGCTCGAAATAGACCTGCAAATTGTTTCATTTAGCCTCTCAACAGCGCACCATGTGGCTTGCCACACTGCAGCACGTTTGTATCGACCACGGGACCTTTATGCCTAGCTTTCCTTTTGAAAATATGACTGTCAAAGAACTAGAGCATGCGGCCTTATCTCCTTCTCTGCTTGTAGATCGTTGAGCAATGACTCGTGTGACGAGGCAAAGCTGGAGCCCAAGAGGATACTTCCTTTCCGGCTGTTGGGCTCTGGAGCACAGCCTTATCTCTGCAATCAACTGTATCTCGTTCCAGGTGGTCGTTTCCTGTTCACCAAGTCGGCTGTAGATGGTAACATCGCTTTGTGGGACCTTGGAAATGTCGGAACCAGAGCGCCAATGACTTGGCTGCCCGTCGCCTTGCTTCGTGATAGTGGGCTTGTCATGATGGATACCTGCCCGACTGCTGATGGGAATGGACTTTTATTATCCACATACCGCCATGGCTTGCACCCGTGAGTGCTGGCTTCTCCTTTGCGTAGCTTGATTCTCAATCACTCCGCAAGTTTATCTGATACCACAGTGGTGATATACGAGATCTACCCACAGTCAGGGCCGTATCCACAATTTACATGCAAAGGAGAGTTAAACATAAATGGAAACATTGACCTAAATTCCAACTCTGGTGGCCTTTTCGCATTCTTAAATGAGATGGACCAGGTTGTCCTTTGGAATTTGGCTACTAACAACTCCATCACTTGGAAACCTCCAGTTGAGATGATACAAGCAGTGCATTCAATCCCCCTTGTCCCCAACACATAGACTCAACCGGCCATTTTACACTTTTAGCTATCTTTGATGGACCGTTACCTGATTATTCTGAGCTCCATTGACATTACGATGTGGGAGATACCAATTTTTCGGAAAGACCCCGTTGAAAGGTGTGACGGTGACCTCAAGGGCTGCTCCTTCGGTGCCTCACAGCCCACACTGAAGCACACCCTCAACTACCCCACATTTTCTGGACATGCCATTTTTTCATCACCCTCGTCGTGGTGGCCATCCTCTGGTGATGTACCAATTGGCGTCGCTTCAGAGAAAAACTCGTCCGAAGACAAAATGGCCTTTTACATGCTCGAATTGGGCCCAACTTCTAACTGGGCTAGGCCAAGGGTACGAACTGCATCTTTTCCCGGGCTATCCAGCTTGAATAGACTCCATCATTTGTGTTTATGCAACAAGAACATCTGTCAACAATGGTGCTACGGCCATAACATTTTAATTGGTCTGATGGCCACTCCAAATCAAGCAGATGGAATCGAAGGAGAATGCATAGCTATACTTAACCAGGTCAATCTTTTGTGGTCCCGCACAAGATTTCTACTTCTGCACAGTATCCAGTCGACTCGTTATAATAAAGGATTATGGACTGTGCATCATGAACCCCTGTCAAAATTAACTCCGATCAGGCAGAGTCACAGTAACTATCAAGGGGGGTACACAATTTTAATTTAATATATCATGCTGATTTTTTTTGCAAGGCCACTATGGCAGGACTAACTAACCAGTGTGCGAATAAATTACCATATATAGGTAAAGTCTATAAATAGGTACCAAAACGTGTCGTTTGGGTGTTGTGTCAGCTGCCTACACTGTGTGCCTTCGTTTGCCGCCCCTTCCTCTGCTTTTTTCTACACTCTTGCATGGGTCACAAACCCAGTCATTGATACCACGATCCAGTCCAACACACGAAAGATGGTACTGCATAATTAGTGGTGAATAGTAGGCAGAAAATGACACGAAAAGAAATGACTTACCCACAATGTCTCACAGCCGCAGATAATCATCCTGCTTTCGTCGTCGGCCTCAACTTCGTCTATACTCTCGCCGCAATCACACTCTCTCACAAGCTTTCGTTTACTGGTGTTCCTAAAACCTTCTCATAGGCTTCCCAGGTCGGAGTTTGCAGAGGCAGTGGGTATGTTGAGATCTGTAGCAAATCCGTGAGTTCCATGCCCATTCCCACTGTCGGTTCCTGTGTTGATGGCTTCTAGCTCATCTGCACGTAGGCCAACTTTTTGTGCGACGACGGCTGAAACAACTGCATCGGTCACATCAAGCATCTCATCTGCAGGTAGCCCGACCTCTTGCACGATGACAGCTGGAACAACTGCGTCGTTCGTGTCAAGCGTGTCTCCATCATTGGAAGGAAAATGGAACGGGTAAGTGAGGAGAGCTCGTCAAACGCGTCAGAGAGCGCACCAGTCAGGCTAATCTAAGCTCATCCGGTCCATAAATTACCTGAAATTGGTACTTAAAATTAAAAAAATTTAACGGTCTGGCGGCCGGACTAACTAACCGGCCCCATATGGCAAATTCAAATCCCGCTCCCCCCTTGGTAACTATGGTCGATTTGCATGGCTTGTGTGAGCATCAATCGAGTTAGATATATTTCAGGCGATTTGCAAGGCTGACCCACACTAAAAACCGCACTGAGTACATGGCTTACATAGTGTAATATCGAATTGGATCGAACTCAAATCTATTTGTATAGAATTCTGTCGATAAAACGACACCTTACATTGCTTCAATTCTAGGCAATCAGAAGTAAGTACCTCGGAACAACCCGAGTCATTTTTGACTGGGCATGAACTTTGTCGCTCCACCAACTTGACCCCCTGCCCACTTGTCAGTCGGTGGTAACTGGAACCTTTCAACCTAACGATTAAACTGCGAGATCGACAAATTCTTACTCTTGTTCAACTTGTAAAGTCCTGATTGTAACGGTCCGATATTTCTACCTTATGACCCTCTTCTAAAGCTGCCCCTCGCAAGCTCAAGTGAAAGTGCAAAGATTATGTTTCGAGCGGAAGACTACACCGCTTTGCTTCGACTATGAGGTGTAAACCTGAGAAGCTTGAGCGTTTGAATTTGCAATCAATTCGAATCGAATCCTCGCTGCGCCTCAAGGTTTTGTGATTATTGAACGCTAAATTGCTTGAGTCGGTGATGGATTTTACCAATCCTTCCTCATCTCCGCTTTCATACAGCGTTTCCGTTCGTAAATTCAATCTTCCCCTACATGTTTAATAAGTAACCCAAGCTTGAGGACTACTTACTAACTTAGCAAAGATCCTGTTTTTATCCTGTGCCAGACTGATTTTCTTTTCTCCAAATCATAGATGTAGTCAGTGGCTGTGTCGAACGATCTCTTCCACGTACTAAAATCTGAAATACCCTTTGTCGTCGCCGTTCTACACTTGATCGACTACCTTCACGATGTTGCAGAGTCCGACGGGCGTCAGTTGGACGAAGGTGTCTCCTATCGAGGTCCTTATCACACGGGCCTGTGAGCCCTCTTTGCACGAACCCAATTACGCGCTACATCTTGAGGTCGCAGAGTTCATCAATACGAAAAAGGCCAACAAGTGCGCTTTCATACATATATCTTCTGAATATCTACTTATCTACCCCTCGACAAAGTCCACGAGATGCTGCCATGAGTATCGCTCGCCTCGCAAACCACCGCAACCCCCACATCGCCATCCTTGCCCTGGCGCTACTCGATACCCTCGTTCAATCATGTGGATACCCGTTCCATCTACAAATATCCACCAAGGAATTTCTCAATGAGCTTGTCCGCCGCTTTCCTGAGAGACCGCCACCCTTCCCTGGTCCGGTCATGTCCAGAATTCTTGAGCTCATCAACACGTGGAAGGAGACGATCTGCACGGAATCGAGGTGGAAGGAGGATCTGGGGAATATCAGAGATATGCACCGTCTTCTAACGTTCAAGGGTTATCGGTTTCGAGACTTGCCGCGACAGCCTTCACTGGCGTCTGCTTCCGTGCGTATCTCAAGGCATGCATAGGAGCTCTCGTTTATTGTCTCATTTTTAGAATCTCAAATCGGCGGAAGAGTTGGAAGAGGAAGACCGGGAAGCCCAATCAGCTAAACTGCAGGAGCTCATTCGACGTGGCACCCCGAGGGATCTGGCGGCTGCGCAGGAACTGATGAAGTCACTTGCGGGAGCCAATCCAGACGCGAAGCCGGATTACCGATCACAGGCGCTCACGGACCTCAATAAGCTGGAGCAGAAGGTCATTTTGTTGAACGAGATGCTGGATAATGTGGACTCAACGAGAGGGGAGCGTTTCGTGGAAGGTGATGCGTATCATGTAAATATTTCATCTTTATTCCCATTTTTCCCTCGCAAGACTTACTCTCCTGCGTTTCTAGCAAGTCTCTCAAATATTGGTGGCCGCTCGACCGAAGTTGCAAAAGTGGAGATCAGACGCGGAAACGGATGATCCAGAATCACTGGGTGCGTATTTTGAGCGACTTCCCCCCACGATTCTAATACTTTGCAAAGATACCTTCCTTCAAATCAATGACCAAATCAACTCTGTCATCACACGGTATGAGGCATTCAAGAAGGGCGATTTCACGGTCGCGTCGAATCCTATCCCAACCGAGCTATCAAACCCGCAGGGCCTATCATTGATCGACCTGGACGACGAAGCCTTACCAACTACGACGGCACCGGGTGGTAACGAGTTGGCTGGGCTCTTTTCGACGCCATCTGCACCAGTGCCGACAGGTCAAGCGCCGTCGCTGATATCACCGTTCTCGACGAATACACCTATGATTTCTGTCAACGTGATGGGAAGGTCAATGGGCGTTCCAACTCCAATGGGCATAACACCGCCAATGAGTATACCACCACCGATGGGCATACCAACACCGATGGGTGTGGGAATGCCAATGTTCATGCAACCTCAACCTCAAACCTACGCTCCTACGCCAGTGGCGCACAACGGGGCTAGGAACATGGGGATGGGGATGATAGGGTCGATGACACCCCCACAGTAGTCAGCCACTCCGCCAGCCTCAATTATGCTCCCTAATACGCCCGCACCAAATTACTTTGCAGCCGGTGGGCATGCACCAGAGTTCAAAGCCTTGCGCGAATTTGAATGGATCGGATATCGCGGGATGCGAGCAGACATGTAGCGGATGGAACTTTGACGCCGTCGGAGCGTCCGCCTTTCGCGATTTGCGCAAGTTAACCCTCCGGGCCGAGGACGACGATGGATTCGCCGACATGGTGCGAACGGTGCTTGAGCAGAATGAAAACACGCTGAAGCACCTTATACTCGGAGGTGGTGTTCAATAACGACTATGTTATCGATTGAAACATACTTTCCTGCCGCACTTGGATGCTTTTAGGTTCGTGCTGGTGGGACATGAAAATGACACCGGCCTCTACTAGTGCTGGCAGTCCACACAATTGTTGCGTAACGCAGGCTTGATTTGGGCGAATGCCCGCGGAAGTTGATGCATGGGGTCCTCCCTGACTTACCCAAACTACGGGCGCTAGGGATACGCATCGCCAACTTGACTCAGACGGCACTCTCCTCAGTCGCAAACACAATACCAGAAGAGATGATCGCCGTGAGCCTCTCGACCCTCATCGCATAAAAACCTCTGTTGCGTTGACTTCTCTTATCTAAAGCTTCACGTGTTGACCTTGTGTCTCCGCAGAACGAATACGCGCCAACCTTTGCTAAGTTTCCCGCCCTCTCTTTCTTCCACCTTCGCTGCGCGCACAAACGGCGGCCGAAGCCTAATCTCATGTGTGAAAAGGACTTTCGGGTAGAAAAAGATGTGCGGATCTCGAGGGCGCGGAATGTGGCTACGGCGCTTCCCTCGATTGATGTCATCGGTTAGCAGGGGGAGGATTTCGTCGTGGTGCGCAATCTTTTATTCAGCGCTTATGACTTTGCCGGTGAGAGCGTTGAGCGGAAGGAGCTGCCCTTTAGGCGACGGCTGGACTGAGAAGGGAGTGGATCTGGGAAGTTAGGATGCGGCTTGGCTGGAACGGAAGGATGTTCCCATAGATTATGAGAGTCCAGGATTGCAAGTTTTTCTTGTGGTTTCGGTTTCTCTACGCTTCCTCTCTTGCGTATACCATGTAATTCATCACCTTTTACCCTCAACATGACCAAGGTCGATACTAGCACAGATCGGAGCTTGTCCTACCCTTGTATCACCGGAGCAAAGCTAAATAGTGACATGTTGGAGGCTTAGTAGTCATGTTGGAAGTCCAATAAAAATGCAGTTGGTATGGTAATGACACAGAGAATACAAATAGCTTACTCTCCTCTAATGTCCGAGAACTATGATGATCTAGACCGAAGTATGTGCAAAATGAGAAGAGAACAAACTTAGATCGAAAAATTCAATGTACTGTAGTGGATCAATGAGTCCTTTGATCATCAAGACGTCATTGGTGCTCATGCCACCGATAGCACCCCTCTTGAAGGAACCAGGGATTAAAGGGATTCGAGGGAGGGGTTCCGGCGCGGATTCGGCAACCTGTTCGCACCATGACAATATGTCTGGAGATGAGAGGCGAGTTGGAGGTTGTTCATCTCCGTCCTCCATAGCATCAATGTCGTCGGAAGTCTCCGTCCCTTCGATGCTCTGAAGATCCGAAGCCTCGTACATTACTGGTAAGCTCATAGTCATGGCACCAGTCACGATTCCCTTGTCAGCATGCACATCCCCCATCTCCGCTAACCCTTCATCCCCAGCTGTGAGAAGCAGCTCGTCTCCGTCCCGGGAGAAGGAAGTGGTTGTTCCCAGTAATATCTGGCCTGAGGGAAGCTCGAAGGTGTGCATATTCTGGTTGGAAGAGTGTGTGGTTTGAATGCCGGAATGCACTATGATTTCGTTCATGGAGAACTTGGTACCATGGCGGGAAGGATGATGTATAGGATGGGGTTGGGGGCTTCGAGCGTCGTCATGCTGGTTTGTAATCCCCTCGGATTTTTTGATCTGATCGGGCGACGGATCCCACCACCACAACTTCATTATTTCGACTCCCATGATGATCAGCTGCTGTTGGTAGAGAGTGGGTGGCACCATTCCGCACAAGCGAGTAAGGTTATGTATAAGCGAGAAGGGTATGGAAAGGAGGGTATTGATGATTGGGAATGGGTTCTGACTGGATGGGTCATCGATGCCAGGACAGTCCCGCATGTAGAATGATTTGAAGATACCGTCAGTCCCGAGCCTGTTGCAGCCCGCAGAGCTGGTTGCCGCGTGCCAGCGATGTTCTGTAATTAGTCCATCACCAAATACCTGAAGTTCTGATGAGGCACGATACCGAATGAATAAAGACGACCACTCACATGTTCATACTGGGGTCTGCCAGGATCACCCCGCCCAGCATCTAACTCTGCCACCCTCCAGTCATGTAAATCCCTCTCATAGGCAAGAGTGCGAGCCACTAGGTCCTCATGAAGAAAGAGCGTTCCTCGCGGCGGCCGCGCATCCATATCGCGGTGGTAGTTGACTAAGACTTGGCCTAGTCAGAAATCAACCTATTTGAAAGAAATAAGGATATACGTGGAACAATGTTCTCCCGCACTTCAGCGGCATGCGCGGGATAGCGATTCGTACGAAGTTGACGTTGCAGCATTTGTTGAAGCTAATATGTATGTTCAGCACCATCATACAGAATAAGAGATTAACTCACACGTTCGTTGGAGGGTTCTAGGGCCGCATCAAGCATGTGGCACCAATCCACGCTGCCTGTCCGCCATTCAAGTATACATTTTTTGCCGCCGTAAAAAGCAGTCATAGCACAAAGCTCCTTTTGAGAGTACGCGTGGGTAGTCGTTCGGACTGATGGTTTATCGTCTGCTGACATGGGGGAGAGATTCAAAGCCGTCACGTTACAGCAGTCACAATAACAGGAGTTGCAGAACGTCTAATCGTTCGAAGGTGATTGAAGGTCCGTAAGTTTGAATGATGAGGCGTAAGCTAGGCAAAACAGGGTTCCTCCGGCGCGTGAAACTGCGCCTCGGGAACCCGCGAAATCTATTTTGTAGCCTCGGTGGCTGTCTACGTGTAGATACAAGGAATTGAGGGAGTAGGTGGGTGGGTGAATGTAAATGTTACCGCTGCCTGGTAGGGTGGTCGAGGTGAGAGGGAGGATTGCTCAACTCCACTCTTGCACCTGATATACCTGAGGGGTCTCAGGTGTGTGACTCGCTCACACTGGATCGCTGGTTTCAGAAACCAGGAGTATCTCGGGGAGAGGAGATGTTGCGTCCCCAGGCACCCGTGCGCCCGATTAGACTACTGTAAACAATAATTCTAAACTCGATGAACCCGCTGGGGCCGCGAGAATCTGAGAACCACGGCTTACCCCGAAGGCTCCAATGCCAAATAACCCACACTACATACACACTACACCACCATTTGTTCGAAATGCTGATGGCATCTGGCATGAATCTCCGCTTGACAGATTACTGATGGAGGTCGCCCCGGCATGGAGGGCAGGTGTGTCGGAGCTTGGGGCGTAAATGTTAGAGCCAGCAGCTCGACACCTGACCCACAGGTTTTTAACTCTGCTCAGGAAGACCTGTACCGCCAATTTTCTTCGGGCGACGAAATGATGTACTTGAGATACAAATTATTCATAGTAAGATAATAAAATGATACATTGAGCACTTCCAAGTTCTTACAGGTAGAAAAGACACGGAATCCTGAGCTCAACATGAAAAGGCCCGTGCGAGAAACTCTCCAAAATTTCCCCAAGTCGTTTAAACTCTGCCCTATGTTTGGTTATTTCCAAACTTCAACCAGAACCAAACTCACCTTCCTCTCCACCACAACCGTCTCTCGCCCAGTTGCTTGCTTGCTCCCCTCATTATTTCTTGTTTTCATCTGTGTTCCACTACCAAGTGGTCTGCGCCCCATGTAATCCTCCTCATGTTGTTCTGTTGGTTGTCCTTGTTACCCACCCGTGCGTCTGTGCGCGGTCGCCACCTGTCACTGTTCTGGGCTTTTGTTCCTGCCCATTGCCCCTTTGTAGTTCCTCCCCGACAAGTGGCCACTTGCTAATACTGACTCTCCCGGACAGGTTCACTTTCACATTGCGCCACGTAGCGGCAGCCGCAGTAGATGCACGCCTATCACCATCATCAAACCCAAGCTTGGCTCTCCAGACAACGTCTCAATGTGGTATCCGCCCTCCGCTACCCTCCTCTTATTCAACGAGCCAGAGGCTCCGCTTTGATGCGCCTTGTTTGTGGTTGCACATTCGGCAGACAGCGCAAAGGGTGGTCGGGTGGGGGAATGTTTTTTGAACGGAAGAGCAGACACAGGTAGTAATTGGAGCTGCCTCATTTCTCACATCCTTCCATACACCCTATACCTTTGTACTATGCAGCCTGTTTATAATCCTTGCTTATGAAAATGTGGCCAACGTCATCCTCCTCCTTGCCCCTTGTATTTTATGGACTAAATAAGAACATGAACACCTAGTACAAATATGGCCAGGGAGAAATATTGAAAATATAGTGAATTTACGTAGGCTGGGCTGCCAGCTGGTCCCTAGCTGCCCCAGACAGGTAGTGCCAAGATCAACCTGGGCACACCCTGCTATTAGTCGGTTTCGATCCTGGTGTGGACTCGGATCATTATTGCCTGACAGGTGGGAAAACATGCCACACAGGGTTTGACTCTCAGGTTTTCCTCACATGCCTGTCATTTGGCGGTGTACCATGGGCTCCCTACTCATACCTGTGTCCAAAATTTTAAATAAATGATAAAAAATAAAGAAGGAAGGGAAAAAAAAGGGAAGAAAAAGGGAGGGATTTGGCTGACCAAGGTATGGTTTGAGCTGATATTCAAGCAGCCTTCACGAGCTGGTTAGCTTGTGCGAACTCCGACGGTGAAACGAATGGTTGGTTCTATTTGGCATCAGCATAGCCACGGCAGTAGTGAACCTAATAAATATTCACTAGTGAGTTCACTACTTCGTGTGGTACCTTCCAGTGGCTCCCTCGCACTAAAAAAATTCAGCTATAATTTAGATGTATATATAAGCAAATATACAAATTTCTATGCCTTTCCATGGCATATTGGACAATACAGGTCAGTTTTCACTACTGAATCACTACTGAATCACATGTGTAGCGCTTAGATAATTTGTGAATCACACGGATGCTCGTTTCATCACTTGCTCACTCTCGTCCAACATCACCACTCCAAGTCTCTCCAAATCAGCGAAGGAACCAGGTATCAAAGGTAAGTAATGTGTTTTTTTTCATTTTATTGCTCAATATGATGAATTCACTGCAGTAAACAACCAAGGCGGTGGTCAGTCCGACTGACCGCCACTTCTGATTAACCTCACCACACACAGCTCTTCTTGGCTCTCCCCACCCCCAAATCACCTCATGGACCATCTCAGACCTCAAAGTACAATTTCACGCTACCGAACAACCACATACTGCGCCCCTCCTCATCTCCACATTGCGAGCATGCTGGCGCTCTGCCCCTCTCTTCTCTCAGATTCACGGCCTCTCCCACCCCTACTTGTCCCATTGAACGAAACAGTGGCCGTCGTGCCTCTCTATTCGCCATCACCATTCCCCCTCCCCTGTTCCGGGCTCCATCACAGCGAGGCAGGAGTCACTGGGTGGGCATAAACACAGGCCCAAGTAGCTGTCATTTGTGTGCACCATCCGCTGCTAGGTCCTCGTCCCCACCGTCCTCACCAATATCTCAACCACCACCAAATTCGGACACGAACAACCATATTTCTGCCTTCTCCCCCCTTTTCATTCCAATGCTAATGCCTCAGCCACCACCCACAGCTCCCCTAACCTGCATATTCAGACACGCACGACCGTGCCCCTACCCTCTCTCCCCTTTCCAGTCCAACGCCTCAGATCCGTGGCTGACTGTTTCTGCAAGCCATGCGTGAACGTGAGTAGGCGTGCCATGTCGCTCTGCCCACCATTCTTTCTGGTTACCTTGCTACTCAAGTATGTTACATCAATTCAATATTAAAACATATAAATTTCCTCTTCCTGTTCCTACTATCCCTTCCCTAACATTCAGTACTACAAAGCTTGCAATTTCATATCTGTATTTTCAGGCTCCTCCATTATTCTTTTCAAATTCTTTTGTAAGATTTTCAAGTATTTTCAATGCTAGACAGCAATTTGGCACTGAAAAATAAAATAAAAGTACATTCAAACTAATATATACAAGCTTCAGATATTGCGTTGAACGAAGGAGCAAAAGAAGAGGAGCATCATTTGCTGGGCATCGGCATCCCAAATTGGAAGGTCATGTGATTCTTTTAAACTCCATTCAGTAGTGATCAGTAGTGAAGCACAGGTATGAGTAGCGACCCCTACCACGTCCACGAACCCAATCGATGACACGACAACACCATCCACCCAGAACCCCAACCCAATCCCCCTTCCACCCTGGTACCCCAAAAGTGTGCACTTTGTCCAACAATGGTGGCCCAGCCTACTGAACATCCCACGCGTAAGGTTGTCTTATTAACAGAACACGACCAAGTGAGCCATCGTCTGCACTTTGTGCTTGCGCAACATAATTTTTGGGTGCTAGTCAATCATGTTGACTGGGATAACGACAATTTGTATGGACTGCTCCTGGGTTTGAGGTGAATGGTGTGACCCCTCCTCCTCTTCGCCCTTCCTCTTCCTCCTCTTCCGGATCCCAACCTCAGCCCCCCATCACATCCATATCCACATCTACTACATCATTGAGTACCCCCATGCAAATAGCGCAAGACGACGGACTGATGCACCTCTGGTATGGCAGCATGCCATTCGAAGTGGTCCGCGTGTTCAACGTGATCTCTGAAGAAGTATATGGGGATAGAGGGACACCTGATTGGCCTAGACCATTGGTGGCTGTTGATTTTGGACATGCACGCTGGAGGTTCCTGAGGAGTTGAATTTGAGTGCAGTTGAGATGATTAATCTTGATCAGAGTCAGGGAGCAGTTATTCTTTTGGACAGGGATGGGAGGATCTTTCTTTTGTGTTATGAGTAGATCACTGTAGATGTGCTTTCAAATATTCTGGGAGACCTTGATCGACGTGGCTGACCATCCAATTCGACGATGGCCAGCTGCCCAGTCCTCAACTACCTAGAAATAACATCCTCTCCTGCCTCAGATTATAACCATGTTGTTCACTGAGACAAAAAACATGTTTGTCACAGTAAGTGACACCTTGATCAAGGTTCTCTTCTGAAGTTTCACATTTTTCTGTTCCTCAAGACACTGACACTTGTAATTTTAATATAGATTGACTTAAAACTATGCTTAGTTGCGTAAAATACATTTTCATTAGTTTCAAGCTTCTTCCCCCGGGGTACAGAGGGTGAACTACTGAGTTTGTTTACTAGTATTGAACAACAACTTCCACAACTGGCCAATTGCGGGTTGATACAGATGAAACCATTTTACTCGTATAAAATTCGATTTTAATGATTTTACCAATAAAGGTCATCTCTAATAAATACACTACATACAATTGCAATGATACAAAGAGTCAATGTGCATACCCGGCTCAGTTGACTAAAAGTGCAAATGTGTGGAATCTGAAAATAGGACAAAGGCTTTGGAACTGGCAGCAGTATGTGTTGTGACATTATACTTGGATCCTATCTAAGATTCACCTACCATGAAATAGAGCACAAAGAAGTTCTAGAGTAAACACCCAACACAGGGAGAAGAATTGCATTACTACCAAAGGGTTTAGAAACACATAATGGATTTATTGTGGAAACTCATGCTTATACAAGAAATACAGAAAAGACGACATAGACGCTTAAACGGCATGTCTGAAACATTGAAAGACTAAACTATGCCTAAGTAATAAATGCATGAAGACTTAGCGTGGCTCGCGGCCATTCAGAAAGACATGTACGGCGATTCCCGCGTACACATCAAAGACTGATGTGTCTGAATGTCACAAGTACAAACATGGGAAAAAGACACATTCTATTATATGAAATATAATAAGAACCCCCTGACAATTAAGAAAGACATTTGAAAGCACCTTTGGAGTGTCTCCCGACTTCCGTAATGAAAAGACTAGTGTTTAAAGGTTCAGTCCATAGGACTGCAAAAAACCGGTGGACCAAACTGAACCGGACCATGGACCGGTCTTTTTTTCGGTTGCAGTTGTCCCAATTTGGGGTTGGTCCGGTTGCCGGTTGCCTCATTTCGAAAATCTTTTAAAACCGTTCAAAGACCGGTTTTAATCGGTTGCAACCGGTTAAACGGTCACGTGCGTTACATACCCTTGTAACCACGTTTATTGCCTTTTATTGGGTTTTTGTTTCGTCAAAAACGGTTAAGAATTGAGAAAGATATAACCAAATCCATATTTTACCTGAGTCTCTATGAGATGTAATTCGGTTTCAGTCATAGCTATGTCAAATCTTCATTAAATCTCTTGAAAATTGGTAGAATGACGGGTATTTATATGCTTTACTATTTTATATAACCCGTTTATTTTTCAGAGTAATAATGGTTGAGATACAAATGGTTTATATTGGTATAATAAATTATATGCAAAAAAACCGGTCTGGATCGGTCTGAACCAGTATCATGGACCGCAAAAGACCGGTCCTAGGTGGTTCGGTTCGGTTCCCTAAATATCTGGGTCGGTCCTGGACCGGTTGCGGTCCACGGTTGCGCGTTTTCGGGGCAAAAAACCGGACTGAACTGAACCTTTAAACACTAGAAAAGACGAGCCAAGACAAGGCATTTTAATTAAAAACTCGGAAACAATGGGAGACTGAAGACTATTGGTAAACACGTATGCATGCACATCAACACATCAGGAAACATTAATCATTAGATGATGCCATCTGTCAAACTGGTAACCGGGCCATAGAAAAGAAACACATGAGATCATGCCAAGCTAAGAATAGCTACATCAGCTAACTCCACGTACACATCAAACACTGATGCATTTGAAAATGAAAGACACGACACTACAAAATCTGCAGTGTTCACAGAGATAGACTACAAAATATACCACACGTTCTTTGAAATTCATATTTGTAATTCAGACTGAAGTATCCTGCATTAAAACACATGTAAAACATAGATAGGGGTTCCTGGAGTATATAAGGAGCACACTGGCAGGTCAAAAGGCAAGCAATCGCCCCGCCATTGACCAGCTAGTTGCACTCCAAGTAGGAACTTAGGAGGTGGACAGTTGTAATCAATTAAAGGAGATTTCTTTGTGGTCAGAAAAGTACAGTGTGAACAAAGCCAGTGTGCTTGGGAGTCAACTTACTTGGAGACTTTTGAATAAGAGGTTTTAAGAACACAGTATCATTTAGATGAGACAGCATACTTGTACCCTTAGTTTTGGAGTGTAGTGACATAATAAAAACTCACGGGAGTCATAAAAGTCAATTGAAGTCGTGTTTTGTGTTAATAAAAGAAACTGTGATCAAAGAACTTTGCATTTAAGAGACCAAGTTCCCAGAAAAGACATACTTTGTTCTATTGAACTATTCTAAACCACACTTTATAATGAAAACCAATTTTGAACGAAATCTCTTGAGACTTAACCTAAGAAGACAAAAGTGGTATTTCTCAATACCAAAGGCCCTTGAACTTGTGCACTGAGATTGTGATAGTGTGTGTGTGTGTGTGTGTGTGTGAGTGTTTAGGTGTTTAGGGTTTTCCTGACGTGCTTGATCCTTGTTTGTGTGTTTTGCACTTTCACGGTCATCCCTGTGCAATGTGTATCAGGGTCATCAGGTGATTATTCTCATGAGAATATTCTCTCCCAGTCGATTCAATGCCCTCCAGGATTTGTTATTCTTTATTTACCTGCCATTTCACACAGTTCAACTCAAACTCTAATCCCAAAATGGAAGCCGCCTTATTTTAGAAATGCACCATTCTCAGTGATTTTGTCGAAGGCCTGTGGCTCAGCAATAGTGTTTAAAGGTTCAGTTCAGTCCGGTTTTTTGCCCCGAAAACGCGCAACCGTGGACCGCAACCGGTCCAGGACCAACCCAGATATTGAGGGAACCGAACCGAACCACCTATGACCGGTCTTTTGCGGTCCATGATACCGGTTCAGACCGATCCAGACCGGTTTTTTTGCGTATAATTTATTATACCAATATAAACCATTTGTATCTCAACCATTATTACTCTGAAAAATAAACAGGTTATATAAAATAGTAAAGCATATAAATACCCGTCATTCTACCAATTTTCAAGAGATTTAATGAAGATTTGACATAGCTATGACTGAAACCGAATTATATCTCCTAGAGACTCGGGTAAAATATGGATTTGGTTATATCTTTCTCAATTCTTAACCGTTTTTGATGAAACAAAAACCCAATAAAAGGCAATAAACGTGGTTACAAGGTGATGTAACGCACGTGACCGTTTAACCGGTTGCAACTGATTAAAACCGGTCTTGAACGATTTTTGAACGGTTTTAAAAGATTTTCGAAATGAGGCAACCGGCAACCGGACCAACCCCAAATTGGGGCAACTGCAACCGAAAAAAAGACCAGACCATGGTCCAGTTCAGTTCGGTCCACCGGTTTTTTGCGGTCCTATGGACTGAACCTTTAAACACTACTCAGCAATGGGTTCATTTGAATACAGGGTATTTCATGTTTCCTTGCAGCCTTTATAATGGAGGTCAAAAAAGACAAGAGGGACAACATTTTTAAACAGGAATCCTAGTATTCTGCAAAATAATGTATACATGGTGTATCATGCCTGGTTACGTGACCTGGGTTACGTCACGTGAGCACTGGCAACCCTCCCTTTTGGCACGTGCTGTCACCTCCATCACGCGGCTGGTAACCTCTCTCCAGCGATCCACGTTTGCGGAGTCCTCAATAGCGTAGATAGTGTCACACGAATGAATCCGTTTTTTCCGCTCTCTCCCCGTTCCTTCTGGTCCCTGTCCCCCTCCTCCTCTTTGGGATCAACAGTCTGCTCTCACCCTCAGGCATCCCTGAACTCCCACCTGGTTTGTTTGGACCTCAGTCCCCCCCTCTGTGCAGCTCCTGTGTGACCCCCTCATCCGTTCGAGAGAGGTGACCCCGATCGAGGAAACCACGCATCCCGAAGGTGGAAACCGCTATTGCAGCTCCTGCTTTTCCCTCGAGAATGGAATCCTCAAATGCGACCCCAATGATAGTGGATAGTGAGGTCCCAATTGCAGCATCGAAAGGTGTTTCCACAATCGAGGAAACCTTTTTAGATGTACCAAATTGACTACATCTCAAGAATAAAAGACAAAATTTTAAGAGCCACATCTGTAGTGAGGCTCATCAAAATTCAGATAATGCACAGTTAACATTTTAATGAGGTTCTTTGCTGAAATTTGGTCTGAACTATTGCCTGCAAAGATAATGGTTACCATTTTTCTAGGAGGGCTCATTGAAAAAGCAGTTCTCAAGCCTCTGCTTTTTGCAAATGCTATTGAGCTTCCAAAAGCATACTTTGAAGGGGTTAATATAATTAAATCTAACTAGTTTGATTGAGCAAATAAAGGAGCAGCTCACGCAACACTTTGACAGCGCATTGTCGCAAAAATATCGATAATGGCTCCGAGAGCCACACATTCTGTATTTGGCCAAACTCGCTAAAGGGACAATGTAAATACATGAAAGCTAATATAAAACAATGGTAGTATGTGGGGGACAATGGCAATATATGCCAAGGATTTAGGTATTCAGACTGGTAATGTTACCTGCGCACCAGGTAACGTTACCAGTGGGTTACCAGAAGGTAACGTTTGTCTATGATATATCTTGTGTATCACATCAGATTTGAATGCTTTTTGTACCAGTACATATATCCACCTCTCTTTATGATGTTGTGTAGGAAATCATTTAAATGGACTTGGTTCTGACTCTGATCAAATTATACAACAAAGGAGTGAGCGCCATGTGCTAAATGCACTGATGTGATGTAGTCTCTGTCGTCAGACTATCAAATTCCTGTCTTGTCGATGGAATGAGGAGGACAACATATCCAGGAAATGCCTCTACAGCGGCACCAGGTGGCACCGGATGATGTGAGGGACCAGGATCTGTGCCAAAAAGACCATGAAAGATGTTTCTAAACTAAAGATATGGCAACAACTTACCTTGACCCTACAGGCTTTGAAGGTCAATTGACGTTCTCAAGTGCATGAGCTTGCTAATCAAAGATCGCGAAATGTTGTGGTCAAATCATTCAAATTATGCGATGACTCTGGCATGTTTTGTGAGGGGTCTTCAAGAATGTTTTTTGCATTATTGTGCACCTAAACTGTGGAATGAATATGAAATGGAATGTGAAAAAAAAAAATTGAACACACCATTGGCAAGGAGTGGAGAGACTGAACCTGATTGTTGAGAAAGCCTCGTAATTTGTCATTTTTGCATTTCAAGGATGTTTCTTCTTTTTATTTAGAGCCTGTTTAGCTGTGGCTTGTTTTTTACCTCTGTTAATGGTAGATTTTGTGCACTTCAGGTGCACCATCGAGTCATGATGAAGAAAAGAGAGGTGGAGTGCTTACATCATCAGATATTTCCTTGCCTTGAACATCCACAACAATAATCCCTTTACCAACTTGGACAACTAAACGCCATGGCTGACGCCCCTATACTAAGTGTGACAATGCTGGGGGCTGGCCAGGAAGTCGACGATCTTGCTGTGTGTTGCAATTCCATGGAAGAACTATCATTTGTGACACTGGCACTGCTGCTTTGACATACATCACAGAGAAGGTAACACTATCATCTTGATGTAAATATCTAACTAATCACCCCGAAGACAAATTTCCAGGATGGAAAAGGCAAGGTACACATGACACATCCAACAAAAGCTGTTCACAAGTTCATCATGCAAGACTATGTTCGCATGGGGTTCGAATGACCAGCTCTTCTGTGATATCTTCTAAAAATTTGTAATTTGCGTTCATCACTAGCTCTTCAACGTCTGATGCGCTGTTCTCTCCTTTGGATGTGACTGAGGATATACGTACAGCGACAGACTTCCCGAAAGGGGATAAGGCTCATCCTCAACACTGTGTCGAGGATGAGAGGACGCAAAGAGGACGAGCAACAGAATTCAACACATCCCAATTGGGTGAGGTGACAAACACAATGTCACACGTCACTACCCCTCTCTTCTCACAACCCCCATGAAATGCAACAAGCGCCCACCACGACCATTGACACGGACGATCGGCTACGAGGACCCAGGATTGACGGACAACGACGACAAGGGCTCAACAGGGTCACCACCGGGATCAACGAATGGCCATGAGTGCCCATCACCAAGATTGACAACGACCACCTACAAACATGATCAATGAACGGCCATGAGGGCCTATCACCATGATGGATGAACGGCCATGACGAACAGCCACGGGGGCCCATTGGAACCTCCTTCTACAAATGGCCACAGGTGCCCATGACGATCAATGAACAGCCTGTAGCACCATCAACGATTCCCCAGCGTGCCCCCACCCTCCACTGCAGGCCCCATCTCGCATACTTCATATCAGCAGACACGGGAAATCCCCATGCAAACACAGACACCAGCCCAAATGCAATGGTGAACCAATCACAAACCCCAACATTCGCTATCAGTCCGAGGAGTCAAAGACTCGGTATTAGGGAGAGGGTATGCAGCTTGGGCAGGGTAGTGTGGTCTTTACATTAGCAAGGGGTTATTGAAGGGGAGAGGTGGTGTCCCCACCTCGCTCCTTCCTTCCTACCTCTACGTAGTTGGTATATCTTTCCATATAAATGTTTTTCTTGTAGATGAGGAATACACATTATGCTGCCATTTACCGAGGACAGAAGGACTTGAAAAAAAGAAGAAAAAAACTGAACTCAGGCATAGCAAACATTGAGCAAACACATTGTTTGGATGTGTCACACATTGAATGTGTGACACACCTGAAAGGGATGGACACACAGGTGTGTTGCTCTCTTGCCCTAAGTGTCACTCTCTTACCCTATGTGTCGCTCACCTGATTTGGGGAGTGTGCCAAAGTTCGTATACACTGGATGTGACTACTGTCCCATTTCAATCAATTTGGCAGTCACACGTCATGGTGCCCTCCAAAATGCTGAAATGTCATGCTTGTCATGGAGATTTTCACAGTGTGCTGAATTCTTCTGGCAACAATGTCACCAATATAGAAATTTTTTCATCGCCTGTGGTTCCAGACTGCCAAAAATTTGGGCATGTCATGCCAACTTTGGGAGGTCGCCGAAACCAAAATTTCGGCAAGTCCATCATGCATCTTTGACAGTTAGCTGTGGACAAAAATAACTTTTTTTATGCGTAGACCCAATTTTCTCAATAAATCTTCAACTATTGTCAAAGATCTTCAAAGATCTTGGAAGATTTCAAATTTTTTACCTTTCATCTGTTTGTTGTCAGTTGTTTGCTTTGATAAGATCTTCAACAATCTTTGCTTTTTGCTGTTTAATGTCGTCTATAATCCTCAAGAATCTTTGAGAATATTGCAGAAATTAGGACAACAAATTATCTACATTTGTAAAGATCTTGAAGAATCTTGACATCTTGTTTTCAATTGTTTATCGGGCCAAGGCATTGATGTACAGCCTATACAGGCACAGGCACTTTTCTCAGAGTATCCTATGCTTTGCAATGTCATTGTGATCTTTCTGGCTTGCTATTCTAGTGACCACCGCTCTTCAACATTGCGCAAACTTGAATTTCTAAACACATCACTCTACTTCATGTCTGAGGTTGAGTCTGAGCAGTTGAAAAACATCAGAGCTGCTTATCTTGTCCTGAGTGACCAGGTGAGAACTGCTCTAAGAACCCAACTTGGAGATGCTGCCAGGCTTTCCAAGCAGCAGACAGATGCCCTTCGTCTGCTTCAGGCAGCTGAGCCAGTGAGCTTGCAAATGCTTTGATGGTTTTAAAGTTTCTAAGTACATTAACAGCACCAGCACCACTTTTCAAGTGCAGAGTATGCAACTCTACAACAGAGCACTTGATCAAGCATGTCATCAATCTTCTGATCCTCAGGAGGGAGCCTCTCTTGTTGTTTCTACTCGCTCAAGCAATGGCAGGTGAGGACGACCTCGTGTTGAGATCGACTCTATCTTTCTTCAGGAGGCCCTGAATCTTCATGGACCATCAGGCCTTCAGCCAGTTCTTGGATGCAATGCATGTACAATCTGTAGGAGGGCACTTGAACAGGGCCTTGTTTCACCTGGAGAGCCAGTTTTCATATCTCATACCCTTCCAGATGGACAAATAACATCTGTCCATACACAATCCAACCACAAATCATCCAATGACATCACAGATGCTCAGCTTGATGCATTAATCACAGAAATATTTCCTGCCTTTGGCCGATGTATGATTGCTGGGCGGCTAGCAGCTAGTGGGCATCATGTAACACAAGAGTAGATGTAATTGAAGACAAAACTGGAGGAGGAACCCAGGCAGCCAGAGATGAAGCAGAAGAAGTAGATTGCATGCCAGAAATGGCTGATGGGAGCAACATGCTGGTGAGAAAAGGCCTTAAGCTTTGAACGTCTAGTGAAAGAGGAATGGTGTACCTCATACTCATGGTCAATGGCTCTGAGTTAAGTTGCCCATGATGTGACCATTCCGCACCACAAACACAGAGCATGTTTACAGCCCAAGTTTTTGTTGCCTGTAGGAAGAGAGTTGAATAAGGGTAGTCAAGGAAGAGGGGCAATAACAAAGGATAGCACATACTGAATAAAAACCACCACAGTGAGTGGCAGGGCATCTGCCTTTTTGAAACTGATACAAAGGGTCATTAGAAGAAACTGATGATGAATTATGATTAATCCAGCCATGCTGGCAGGCATAGCAACTCTCTGCAGTTGAGGAGGGTATCTGGCAAACCAATTTCAGCATACAATTTGGCAACTGCACTGGGGCTGGCTTACATGGCAAGGTATTAATCCACCTGTGGTGGGATCAAGCTCAGAGGCGAGGAACTCACCACAAGGGCATAAGATGCAAGACAAACGTGGTCAGAGTGGGCTCATGGGTTGCAAGATAGAAGATAGGGCGTGGAGATGGAAAAATATAAAGTATGCATTCAACGTTACCAACCACTGATATTTCTGGGGAAAAAACATGTATAGTCTGCTGACCTTTTGCAGAGGCTGTCCCTCAAACATACCTGGTATGATTTATGCAGGGTTTGATTTTAAAAGGGGAATCAAGGGCAATACTGAGTTTGGGAATTTGAGGATGGGGTGTATATGCTGCTTCTGGCTTTTATATTCTGCTGGTTTAGCTAAGCACTATGATATCTCTCTGCCATATTGACTATGAATAAAAGCTTCAAGACTCCTAAGATTGGGGAAGATAGCCAGCTATGACATCATACCATCGAACAGCAAGTTACCAATTCATTTGAATCACTGGACTTCCAAATGCAGACATAAAGCTTGGTGTGTTCCTGTGACTGGATCATATGATCATTACATAATGCCCTTCTCCATGGCCAGCCAAAAATTAAGAGAGACAAAGAAAGCTGAAGATCTTTGAAATGAATTCCATTCTTTACAAAAAGTGCTGGAGAATATGGGAGATCTTTGAATATATACAAGATCTTTAGCAATCTAGTATATCTTTGACAATTGTTAGAGAAGTATAGATTCTTCAAGGTTCTTGACTATTTGTCGCCTTAGAAAATCAACAATCTTCAAAGATCTTCAAAGATCCTCAACAATCTTCAAAGATCTTCCGAGATCTTTGTGAAAAATTCATGGGTTTCAAGAAAATTTTATTTTTGTCCACAGCTAACCTTCATATGCATCACGGGCCCTGCCAAATTGATTGAAATGGCACAGTATGTCTCTGGCATCCATTATTCCGGTTTCAGCCCATCAGCTAATAACAATTTGCCCCAGTGTTTCCTTCACACCATATCACGCTGGTCATGTCCTGGGTGCTTGCATGTTCTTCATTGACATTGCTGGTTTGAAAATACTCTACACTGGAGATTACTGGCAGGAGGAAAATCGACATCTTGTCAAAGCTGAACTGCCACCAGTGCAACCCGATGTTCTCATTGTAGAAAGTACATATGGTGTCCAAACCTTGGAAGGTCGGGAAGAGAAGGAACAATGTTTCACAAATTTGGTTCATTCTGTCATTCGCCAAGGTGGCCATGTTCTCCTCCCAGCATTTGCTCTCAGCTGAGTGCACCGTGTGGCTTGCCGCCCTGCAGCACATTGGTATCAACCACAGGGTGTTTATGCCTAGCTTCCCTTTTGAAAATATGTCTGTCAAAGAGCTAGAGCATGCGGCTTTATCTCCTTCTCTGCTTGTAGCTCATTTGAGAAATGACTTGTGTGAAGAGGCAAAGCTGGAGCCCAAGAGGATACTTCCTTTCCAGCTGTTGGGTTCTGGAGCACAGCCTTATCTCTGAAATCAACTGTATCTTGTTCCAGGTGGTTGTTTTCTGTTTACCAAGTCAGCCATAGATGGTCACATCGCTTTGTGGGACCTTGGAAATGTTGGAACCAGAGCGCAGATGGCTTGCCTTCCCATTGCCTTGCTTCGTGATAGTGGGCTTGTCATGATGGATACCTGCCCAACTGGGAATGGACTTTTATTATCCACATACCACCGTGGCTTGCACCTGTGAGTGCTGGCTTCCCCTTTGCATAGCTTGATTCTCAACCACTCCACAAGTTTATCTGATACCACAGTGGTGATATACAAGATCTACCCACAGTCAGGGCTGTATCCACAATTTACATGCAAAGGAGAGTTAAACATAACACTAGTAGCTGCCATTTACATCATGTAAAACCTGGCATGTACCATAGAAGTTCCTGCTTAACTACCATGAATGAAATGAAATGAATTTTCATTCATTCACGGCACCTGTTTCATTCCAAGTCATTCTCATTCATTGCTGTCGAGAATGAAATACTTTTTGTTTCATTTCATTTCATCTCAATTTTTTCTTCATTTCTACTGACAAGAATGAAATTTATTCTGTTTCATTCATGCCTGGCGACTCTTTCATTTTTTTTATTTCATTCCACCATGGCAACTGTTTCATTTTTTGCTTTATTCTTTCGTTTCATTCATTCCTGGCAACTGTTTCATTTTTTTCATTCATTCATTGCCATGGAATTTTCATTTCATTCTTTCCAGGCAGTTATTTCATTTTTGTTTCATTCTTTCAGGCAACAATTTCGATGTTTTAACACACATCTAAATAAGGAAATAATATACAATTATGCATGATATGTGTTGTGCCCTACTGCAGTGGTGTGGGAGGCCATATGGGGGTACTTTTGCATTTGAGGCTCAAATACACAATGAGATAGGCATGCTGTTGCCAAATAAGGCACTTAAATATTTTGTATCAATTACATAATCATTTTCCCAGCTCTAACAATGAAATAGGCACCTGAGAAGAATGAAGCAAGGAATGAAACAGTTGCCCTGGTGAAATGAAAGAAAAAAATGAAACAGTCGCCAGGAATGAATGAAACAGAATAAATTATCTAGAATGAAACAGGTGCCATGAATGAATGAAAATTCATTTCATTTCATTCACGGTAGCTAAGCAGGAACTTCTATGGTACAGCTCAGGAGTACATGATGTAAGTGGTAGCTACCAGTCAACATAAATGGAAACATTGACCTAAATTCCAACTCTGGTGGCCTTTTCGCATTCTTAAATGAGATGGACCAGGTTGTCCTTTGGAATTTGGCTACTAATGACTCCATCACTTGGAAACCTCCAGTTGAGATGATACAAGCAGTGCATTCAATCCCCCTTGTCCCTGACACATAGACTCAACCGGCCATTTTATGCTTTTAGCTATCTTTGATGGACCATTGCCTGATTATTCTGAGCTCCATTGACATTACGATGTGGGAGATACCAATTTTTCGGAAAGACCCTGTCGAAAGGTGTGACGGTGACCTCAAGGGCTGCTCCTTCGATGCCTCGCAGCCCACACTGAAGCACACCCTCAACTACCCCACATTTTCTGGATGTGCCATTTTTTCATCACCCTCGTCATGGTGGCCATCCTCTGGTGATGTACCAATTGGTGTCGCTTCAGAGAAAAACTCGTCCGAAGACAAAATGGCCTTTTACATGCTCGAATCGGGCCCAACTTCTAACAGGGCTAGGCCAAGGGTACAAACTGCATCTTTTCCCAGGCTATCCAACTTGAATAGACTCCATCCAGCATTTGTGTTTATGCAACAAGAACATCTGTCAATGACGGTGCTACAGCGATAACATTTTAATTGGTCTGATGGCCACTCCAAATCAAGCAGATGGAATCAAAGGAGAATGCGTAGCTATACTTAACCAGGTCAATCTTTTGTGGTCCCGCACAAGATTTCTACTTCTGTGCAGTATCCAGTCAACTCGTTATAATAAAGGATTATGGACTGTGTGTCGTGAACCCCGGTCAAAATCAACTCCGATCAGGCAGAGTCACAGTGACAATGGTTGATTTGCATGGCAGGCCGCTTGTGTGAGCATCAATCGAGTTAGATATATTTCAGGCAATTTGCAAGGCTGACCCACACTAAAAACCACACTGAGTACATGGCTTACATAGTGTAATATTGAATTGGATTGAACTCAAATCTATTTGTATAGAATTCTGTTGATAAAACGACACCTTACATCACTTCAATTCTAGGCAATCAGAAGTACCTCAGAACAACCCAAGTCATTTTTGACTGGGCATGAACTTTGTTGCTCCACCAACTTGACCCCCTGCCCACTTGTCAGTCGGTGGTAACTGGAACTTTCCAACCTAATGATTAAACTGCGAGATCGACAAATTCTTACTCTTGTTCAACTTGTAAAGTCCTGATTGTAACGGTCCGATATTTCTACCTTATGACCCTCTTCTAAAGCTACCCCTTGCAAGCTCAAGTGAAAGTGCAAAGATTATGTTTCGAGCAGAGGACTACACCGCTTTGCTTCGACTATGAGGTGTAAACCTGAGAAGCTTGAGCGTTTGAATTTGCAATCAATTCGAATCAAATTCTCGCTGTGCCTCAAGGTTTTGTGATTATTGAACACTAAATTGCTTGAGTCGGCGATGGATTTTACCAATCCTTCCTGATCTCCACTTTCATACAGTGTTTCTGTTGGTAAATTCAATCTTCCCCTACATGTTTAATAAGTAACCCAAGCTTGAGGACTACTAACTTAGCAAAGATCCTGTTTTTATCCTGTGCCAGACTGATTTTCTCAAGGGGGTCCTAGGATTCAAAAAATATACCTAGGGTCGATTTTTTTTTAAACTGCTTACTGGCTTGACCTACCTACCTATGTAATCAGGCACATGTCCATATATGGTAATATGACATCATCATTCTGATCACTTTGCCCCAGATACATTGCAAACCCAATTTTATGAAACTATTTCCTACCAAATGCAATGTACTATTATGTAGATGATACTGGATATAGGTGAGTGACTTGTAAATTTTATTATATGGAACATATTTCAATGTTGGAAAGTCTGGCTTATCCAAATTTTGCAATTGGGGCATTTGATGTTTAAATTAGTATCAAGAACAAGTTTCTAAACAACTTGCCAGGAGCTTGTAAGTGACATTTAATGACTATACTTCTTTAATTGTGCCAGCTTCAACTACACCCTTAAGATGGGTTTTGTGACATTGACCCTTGGCAGAGATTAGATAAGATTGAAAAAAATATTACATAATGCTTCAATATCATCAATGCCTGCAGTGTTATTGAATTCAGACTTGATTCAACCTGATCTACATATTTTGAAGTGCATTAGCATTACAAACCTGCAGAAGATGGCCTTCCAGGACTGTTTTGAGATCATTTTGTAGAGGGTTCCATTTTTTTTTTCTCAGCCTGCGGCTGACCTACCTACCCAACCCCCGTTCGGACTTTGGAATCCTAAGACCCCCTTGGATTTTCTTTTCTCCAAATCATAGATGTAGTCAGTGGCTGTGTCAAACGATCTCTTCCACGTACTAAAATCTGAAATACCCTTTGTCGTCGCCGTTCTACACTTGATCGACTACCTTCACCATGTTGCAGAGTCCGACGGGCGTCAGTTGGACGAAGGTGTCTCCTATCGAGGTCCTTATCACACGGGCCTGTGAGCCCTCTTTGCACGAACCCAATTACGCGCTACATCTTGAGGTCGCAGAGTTCATCAATACGAAAAAGGCCAACAAGTGCGCTTTCATACATATATCTTCTGAATATCTACTTATCTACCCCTCGACAAAGTCCACGAGATGCTGCCATGAGTATCGCGCGCCTCGCAAACCACCGCAACCCCCACATCGCCATCCTTGCTCTGGCGCTGCTCGATACCCTCGTTCAATCATGTGGATACCCTTTCCATCTACAAATATCCACCAAGGAATTTCTCAATGAGCTTGTCCGCCGCTTTCCTGAGAGACCGCCACCCTTCCCTGGTCCGGTTATGTCCAGAATTCTTGAGCTCATCAACACGTGGAAGGAGACGATCTGCACGGATTCGAGGTGGAAGGAGGATCTGGGGAATATCAGAGATATGCATCGTCTTCTGACGTTCAAGGGTTATCGGTTTCGAGACTTGCCGCGACAGCCTTCACTGGCGTCTGCTTCCGTGCGTATCTCACGGCATGCATAGGAGCTCTCGTTTATTGTCTCATTATTAGAATCTCAAATCGGCGGAAGAGTTGGAAGAGGAAGACCGGGAAGCGCAATCAGCCAAACTGCAGGAGCTCATTCGACGTGGCACACCGAGGGATCTGGCGGCTGCGCAGGAATTGATGAAGTCACTTGCGGGAGCCAATCCAGATGCGAAGCCGGATTACCGATCACAGGCGCTCACGGACCTCAATAAGCTGGAGCAGAAGGTCATTTTGTTGAACGAGATGCTGGATAATGTGGACTCAACGAGAGGGGAGCGTTTCGTGGAAGGTGATGCGTATCATGTAAATATTTCATCTTTATTCCCATTTTTCCCTCGCAAGACTTACTCTCCTGCGTTTCTAGCAAGTCTCTCAAATATTGGTGGCCGCTCGACCGAAGTTGCAAAAGTGGATATCAGACGCGGAAACGGATGATCCAGAATCACTGGGTGCGTATTTTGAGCGACTTCCCCCCACGATTCTAATACTTTGCAAAGATACCTTCCTTCAAATCAATGACCAAATCAACTCTGTCATCACACGGTATGAGGCATTCAAGAAGGGCGATTTCACGGTCGCGTCGAATCCTATCCCAACCGAGCTATCAAACCCGCAGGGCCTATCATTGATCGACCTGGACGACGAAGCCTTACCAACTACGACGGCACCGGGTGGTAACGAGTTGGCTGGGCTCTTTTCGACGCCATCTGCACCAGTGCCGACAGGTCAAGCGCCGTCGCTGATATCACCGTTCTCGACGAATACACCTATGATTTCTGTCAACGTGATGGGAAGGTCAATGGGCGTTCCAACTCCAATGGGCATAACACCGCCAATGAGTATACCACCACCGATGGGCATACCAACACCGATGGGTATGGGAATGCCAATGTTCATGCAACCTCAACCTCAAACCTACGCTCCTACGCCAGTGGCGCACAACGGGGCTAGGAACATGGGGATGGGGGTGATAGGGTCGATGACACCCCCACAGCAGTCAGCCACTCCGCCAGCCTCGATTATGCTCCCTAATACGCCCGCACCAAATTACTTTGGAGCCGGTGGGCATGCAAAGGGTCCAGTGAACACGATGGCTGGAATGGGTTCATCGATGGGAGGTTCTGCTGCTCCTCGGGTGGGGGTAGGAATGGGGGCAACCCCATATACTCCATCGCCGCCTATTACGCAACCTCAACAACGGCAACAGCCTCAGCCGGCACCCTCGAGCACGACTGCGCAACAAGGCAAGGATCCATTTGCAGACCTAGCAGGTTTATTTTGAAGATTCAGGTTGCTTGAGAGGGATGTAGAGTTAGAAGTTGAATTCCAAAGCTCAGTAGTATCTCCAACCTGATCGGTAAATCCTCATGTAGAGAGACTCAATCGCAAGCTCTATGTATAACGTCCAGTTTTGGTTTCTCTAGAGGCGCATGCCCTCCGAAATGAAGTAGCATTTTAAGTTTTTGTGTGAGTATTTAATATTATATTTAGGGTCGACCTTGACGTGTGCTAATCTTATCTCATGTGTTACGTACACGACGGAACTTTGCTCTCTTCCTCCATGTCCCTCTCAGAAAGCCCAAAGCAACTCGCTATCCGGTGGCCCTTGTCCCTCTGAATTTTCTAGATGGCCGAATGTTACCGGTAACCAATCCATGCTCGGGCCACAACCATTTCTGCCTTAAACGGCAGGTTTTCAGCTGAGCCACTCCCGCCTCATGCCCATTGTTATATACCGACAACTTACCATCACCGGTATATTTTCTAAAAAGTGGGTCGCGACCAATCCGCTGTAATCGCCTTATAAGGCTTCTCGGTGGCTCAGTTGGTTTTCCAGCCCAAATAGGGTAGAAATCGATTCTGGAGGAAACCAATCCACCATATTTTTGAGGGCGATAAAAGGAGGCGGTCCCCCGATGGTTTGTCGCATCCCAAAGTCCACCAGTGCGCCCTTTCGGCCACCTCGAGCTCCCCGCCCTCTATTAGCCTCTCAGCGCCCTCACCAGCTACTCTCGCCTCCCCGCTCTCGTAAGCCTTATTTGGTTTATTGTTATGCCTGCTTCACGCAAAGCGCAAGCTGCGGCTAAGGCCGCCAAATCGGTAAGCATGCCACATGACCTGCATTCTTGTTAATCCTGTATTGACTTGACCCTCCCAGACCTCTTTCGAGGTACCTTCCGTTCTAGCGGTCGCTCCGCCCGGCGGGGCCGTCTGCGACATCTGTAACAAAGTTCTCTCTCGCAAACACGACTTGAGTCGTCATAAGAAGACCCACAACCCTGTCAAGGAGTACGTGACTCGTCTTGACTTAATATTAAAGACACTTACCTAGATCTTATCCAGTTTCATATGTGCATGCTGCAACAGGGGTTGGAGCAATCTTCAAGAATTGAACATCCATTTGGACAGAAAGTATGTCACTGTTTCCTCCCTCTTAAGCTTTGACTAACCATCCTTCTCGCGCGCAGAGCGGGGAATAAGCCCCACAAATGTCCATTCACGGATTGTGAATTCAAGACTGCAGACCCTGCGTCGCTAACTCGCCACAAGAAGAATATCCACCAATATGTCCCCCAGGTTGGACCCAGGGACCCTACTAGCCGCTCTGCTAAAAGCAGGCAGCGTCGGGCGCGCAAGGATCCCTCTGAATCCTTTCGGAGGTACTCAGAGTCCTACCGCTCCAGATGCTCTTCCCCGTCGGGCTCCTCATCTGCAAGCTCGTCTGATTTTCCCTCCACGCCCAGTGATCGATCATCCCTCGACCTCTCTACCTGCATCGAAGACCTCTGCCTCCACGACATCGGTCCAGAGGGAGTTTTCGTCCCCTGGACCTTCCCATGGGAGAGCGTCGTCGACGACCCCAATTTCGAGCTGAGCTGCCCTTCCTCTCACGGGTTCTTCTTGCACCGTCGAGTCACCCCGGAAGACCCCTCCGCTACCCCTCGTGATACTCACGCGGCTCACGAATCCTCGAGCGTAACGAGGGGTCATGAGCAGGGATGTCAAGATATTCAAGTCCTCGGGTCCGGCAAGTCAGAAGAGCAGCTTCTTACCAAGTCGTCGACGAAGAAAAGCCCTGATCATACCGACTCAGACCCGTCGAACATCCATCTCCCTCTTCTCTCTCTTCCTTATCCCTTCATTACCTTTATGGACTCAATTGAAGCTGCATCGTCACCGAACTTCAATGGGTACTATCATCATCGGGTGCTTCAGCAAGAGACAGAGATGTTCAACAATGTCATTGTGGCACACTCCCCCCAACACGAGCAGGTGCCGGTCCAGTACTACGGCGACCTTCCCGCTCCCCAAGAATCAGTCGACTTTGACTTGACTCCGGCCCCGTTTAACGTGGATGCTGCGATTTTCGCTCAGTTGTCGCAGTTCGAGCAGAATCCATACGCACCCTACCAGCAGTTGGATTTCAACCTCGACATGGGCACGCTTAAGCAAAACTCGTACACACCACAAGAACCTACCGAACAGCAGTTCAATTGCGACTTCGGTCAAGGCATGTTCGAGCAGAACCCGTTTGCACCCCAAGAGCCCAGCTGCCAGGAGTTCCATCTCGACCTCGACCTGGACCAAGGCACGGTCGAGCAGGAGTTATTCTCACCACAAGAACCCATCTATCAGCAGCTCGATTTTAATCTCGATCAGGGCATGGACCTTATGGCCCTCACCGTCGAGCAACAACAGCTGCAACAGGGGATATCCGACATGATGGCCAATACCCAGTACCTTTACAATGGGTACATCTACCAATAGGTAGTCTGCGCAATTGCCCTTTATTTTATTTCTTCATTTATGTTTCCCCGCATCCACTGTACACTTACTCCCATCATTTTGCATTTTTCTCGGACACTTCGCCATTTTTTTCACCCATCTGCCTCCAGCTTGTAACCGCTCCTATGAAAAGTCTCGATAGGGCTTTGTCATAGAAGTTTGGTTATGAGTGCGATGCGCGATATCATTACTCTGGTCCTTTCGACCGAACTTCAAGCTTTCCTCACTATCGAGGCCCACTTCATCTGTGCATACTTACATTTTTCATTGGATTTTTTGGTCATTTTAGACATCATTATTAACATTGTCACTTGTACTTTTTATATATCAAGGATTCTGGATTCTGGTCATCGCTTTTTATCTGTGCCATGATCCATCGTTGAAATCAAAGTTGTATGTAACCTAAGTTTGTTTCATTTTTTGCAACTCCGAGGCAAGATCACTGCCACATCAATTGCACATCAATCCTCCATCCTCGAACTAGGATGCGTTCAACTCGGCCAGGCGCTTGCAAGGCGCCCTCTTTTCATTCAAGTAATATCTCAAATGATATAAGGCGAGCAAGAACACTCTACTCATCTCATGCTGCAGTCTAGGAAGTTAATGAAGCCCCCAAAGATTCTATTGTGGTACTCCCCACGTACATCCTCCTCTTCCGTTTGACGTATACCTCAATATCAGCTCATCAGACACCGGTTGTCTTGCTGATTGACGTTACGGACAGTCTCGCCGGAGCTCATGCCCACTCTTGTGCTGATGCGATTCAATCTCATGTTTGTTTTCATTGACCAAAACCTAGGAGTCGCGCCGTCGCGGAGATGGGTCCCAGTTGTGGAGTCCCAACTGACTCTGACTTAGTCTTTAGGCATTCAGATGTCGGCTCTGATACGCCTCCAAGCTTTTGACGCACCTTCAAGTTCTCATCAACGTCCTTGTCCTGTCATGTCGGGTGGAGTTTACTCTTACCTGTTTGAGGTTCGTGGCCTTGTCTTCCAAATTTTACCCCTCCGGCTTAGCGTTCAGATGGGACTTTTTGATCTCGCGATGCGGACGACGTGTGTTCTAATGCATTTCGTGCTTACTTTCACTTGCTTCGACGTACTACCAGTCCATCTGCTAGACTGCGACTCGCCCTACGACACAATATTGCCATCTAGGTCCTTCAAAATTCATCTCCAATAGTTTCCATATTCTAGTACCTCTTTCCCATGGAAAGATCTTTCGGAGAAGAATCTCTTGGCCCGAGATCCAAGGCCTTTGCTTTCCATTCCTGCATCGAATCCCGAGGTCTGGGGCGTACGCTCCTCATTTATCAAAGATGAAGATGCACCTGAATGGATTTTGATCCATCCTGTCCCCCGAATTATCACTAGTTAAAAAAATCCTATCATGCCGGATTTGTAGGACATTTTATTCCATTTCTGGTGACCTTTCGAAGAAGCTCTGGATGCTCAGTTCTGGACTTGAAGCGATGGAAATGCGATTCGCAGCCTTCAGGTCTATACTTACATTCAGAAGACTGCCCAAGGGATTCCGTGATCTACAACGTCCATCGTTTGTGGCAACGTTACGCCTCATTACGTCCACCAACGGATGCGTTCTCCACCTTAAGGCTTGCTTTCGCTTTAGCCTTGGAACCTCCTTACTTCAATCCTATCGCTTCGGTCAAACTGAAGTGGGAGAGGTATCCTACAACGTCCAAGCAATTCTTCGAAATGAAGAAGCGCATACTATATCTCGAATTAAAAACGACCTTGGGGAGTTCTCCGCTTGGGGTAGAACTCGCCATTTTCTATTTTCATTTTGGATCACTCTTTTTGACGTCAAATTAAAAAGACGTGTTGCCTTCCGCCCTCTAAATCTGATTGCGAGTCTGTAAACCCTTGATTCGTGGCCCGCCACGATGACGCATCCAATGGTTCCTAGATTCCTCCTCTCCCGAGGGTGCAGTATTTAATCCCATCGCGAAAGGCTTGCCCTACCTCCCCCTCGGCGCACACATCGAAATGCTTCCAATTTTGCCATATCTTGGTAGCAAAGCCCTACTCCTCTTCATAACAGCACTTTCTGTGCATGTCTCCCTTTCTCCGCCGAATCCGCCGGTTAAAAAAGAGGACCAGATTTACTTTGTTCAGAAACTTGGCCTTGGGAGCAAGACGCGCACAACTTTCAATCCAAGAAATTCGCCAATCATCGGAATCACATCGCCTTTTGAAAAGGTCGTATTATGGGTTACTTTTAGCAGTAAAGTATGTCAAATGCCCGTTTTATTTTTTCGAGAAAAATGTTGATTACTCTATAGTTGATGATCTGGGCCGGGGTGCTTCTAAATATTCTTGCGTTGGCCGCGGTCGGGTGCAGCAGTGGTAACACACCGTTGGCGGCAGCATTTCTGGGTAGTATAAGCCGCTGCTCAGCCAAGTCCGATGTTAAATTGCACGGTCTACCTCTGGAATCGGTGGGAGTTCACCCCGCGCTGGTCGTCGGCACGATCTCCACCATTGTCGCGGCGGTATTACGTGTCTGGTACGTACGTCTATGCTTGAAGGCTGTCATATTTCGTAACAAAAATTTCTAGGTGTTTCAAAACCCTTGGCCCGTTCTTTACCTTCGAAATAACCATCCGCCCAAAACACCACCTCATCACTGACGGCCCGTATGCGTGGGTTCGTCACCCGAGCTATACAGGGGTGTACCTCACCTTGTTTGGAGCGTCACTGTCATTATGGTCCCCTGAGACGCTAAATGTTGAATGCGCTTCGCAGACCGCCGACTGGACATCTTTGGGTCCAATTTGGCACACTTGGCAAAGAACTTTTGGAATGGCATTTGCAGGCGTATGGGTCGCGAAATGTCTCTTCGCATGTCATGGAATGACGACGAGGATGAAGAAAGAAGATAATGTTCTAGAGGCAACATTTCGGGAATGTTGGGAGGACTATGCGGAGAGGGTTCCCTGGAAGTTAATTCCTGGTATCTGGTAGTAAGAAAACGATTCTAGACGTTCCAAAGACCACGAAACCCTTTCCGTTGAAGACTGGCAAAGGCCGGCGTATCTATGCTTACGCAGAAAGTTCTCAAATATTTTTATTACATAGTACTAAGTTACGCTTTTTTACCCTTGGACTTTTGGCACAACACTTGCTTGTCGCCGAACGGTAGTTTGTCGTTCGTTCGTTTACGAATGGCGAACTAACCCAAAACTCGTTTGCGTTTTTTAGCATCCGAGTCGTCGATTCCAGAAATTCTGGTTGAATCGTTGAAAATTTGAAGTCGGTTGTCCTCCCGTCTTGACTCTTCCTCGCATGATCCTATAATCCAATGGAACTGGGGTGATAGTTCTGCAATCATCGAATCGTTTGTCAACGCTAATAAAACTTGTAACTGTATTCAAATTAGTTTGTATGGCGAGTTGATCGCAATTTGTGTTAGTTTCCAAACTGATTGACAAATTCAAACAGCGAACTTGGACCTACGCCAACAAAGATTTATATTTTTTGCAGTCAGATTGGCATTCAAGTATTTCGAAGAACGAGTCACAAAACGCGATAACCAAAACGAGCCCAGCGACAAAGTCAGTAAGCTGCTTCCACCTCAGCTACCAATTCAAACTAAAGATTATGAGCGTTCTTTGCTAGGCATAACAGCAAAATGAGAGGGCTTACCCTTGGGAAAATCAAATTTGGTGATAATTTCGACATTGACAGAGGGTCTGTTGATCGCCTTGGCTTCAAATTGATCCTCTGGCGCGAACGTGATGACAATCTCTGGATCTGGGAGCGGCAAATGCTCAAGCTCTGAGCGGATACTGTATTTCCCGCCGCTATTGAATGGTGGGGAAGTTCCGCCGGGGGGAACTACCACGGGGGGTATGGGAATGGTGCCGTGGGTGATGATGACAGCGACGTGTCCGTTGTTCTTGACCTGGAAGCTGGCTATGTAGTGAAGTGTGTCAGAGGACAACGGTGCGCTTTTTGGGACCGGAATTGATAACGCACTAGGCATAGTTTAAAGGTTTGCGGAAGTTAGATGCACGACTATGTATGAAGTTGGTATGAAGGTCGGAACTTGTATTGGCAGGAGAATGGAGTAAGTATTTGGGTGGTCTAGGACAACATTGGGGGTACCTTTATAATTGTTCAGTTCAGCTTCCCAGCGTTCACACCAGCTGTCATTTTGCAAATCCGGTAACCTCGATTGCTTTCCTGACAGTGATTGGTGTTGTTTCCGTCCCCCAAAAATGCTCACTGCTCGGCCACACCGAAGGTTTGGTTGAAAGGAGCATTCAATCGATAACGATAAGTCCACCCGACTTTTCGTCATTAAGACGCAAGAGCAGGTCCTATGACATGGCACGTTGGAGCCTTACAATCTTTGTGTCGCTTTTGATAAGGAACTGGGCCTGATGGACCATGATTCTTCTGAGCGTCAAGATATGTATTTAGGTGGAGTGTAATTGAGAAGAGCTCACTCAGTGATGTATGTAGAACGTTTGTGGATATCGATGAGATTGTACTGAGCGACCAGAAGAAAGTTGCCCTTGATTCGAACCAGTCTCCAAGGGTTTCAGTCCACTATGCCATTATGAACGAGGACTTACGCAAGCATGAGTGTTATAACTTATAACGCGCGCGGTGTTGAGAACGTATATAGTGAGCCTGGAGTCACTGTCGAAGGGCCATTCTTACATAAGGATTTCTCTTTACAGACTCTATGTACCCTAGCCTTTCGATTATCCTCAGGTTAAATCCACCACCGCCACCAAGTCCTCTTTTTGATCTAAACCGCCACCTACCATGAGCGCGGACCAAACAGGCCCTTATTTCCGTCAAAGCCACTCAGCTCGTGTAGATTGAAATGGCTTTGATGTGATGGATAAGACAATCCCGAAGGCAAGCAGGCAACTTTCAATCCCATAGGCGTCGAGGAACTAGCATGGGACGTGGAGATGGGAAGGGTCCGGAAGGCCGCGAGAGGAAGAGGAAAGGCTGAAATTCGCGCCCGATGACGTTGACCAGGTCAGTATCTGTTTATAATGTCAGTAACCGAAATGCCAAAATGCCAACCTCTGCAGGCATCTCTCTATCTCTTGGGCCGTTTAATTTACCCTTTCGCTGCGGGGGTAGTGATTCCCGACTTTTGGGTCTCAATTATTGTGGTGGCAACAACGAAACAGCGATAAGATTTTTTGAACGCAGTCCCAAAGGCATACAAGTACATATAGTACGAGCAACTCAAACGAAGTGAGCTCAGTCAACAACTCCATTCCGCCTAAATCTTGACGATCCGTTCAGGCTAGAAATAATGAGCGTTCTATTTAGACTGAGATCAACGACGAAATAAGATCACCTCCCCCGAAATCGAACTTTGCAGTAATGTCGACGTTCAAATTAGGTCGGTTGATTGACTTGGTTTCGAATGTCTCTCCTGGAGCGAATGCGACAACAATCTCAGGTGGGGGGAGTGGCAAATTCTCAAGTTCCGACCGGATGATGTACGTCCCGGGGGAACTGAATGGCAGGGAAGTTTGGCCAGGGGGTACCGTCACCGCAAGTGAGGGTTTTTCCAGGAAGACGAAGACGTCGTTTTTACCGTTGTTTTTTACCGTGAAGCTGGCTACGCAGTGCATAGCTGTGTCAGAAAACAACCAGCTAGGCAAATGTTAACGCACAAGGCATAGTGTGAAGATGATAATCGGAGTCTGTGGTTACGATATGAAGGTCAGAACCATCCTGATATTGACGTCGACGATAATGACGTACATGTTTGCAGGAGAATGAAGTTTCTGGGTGGGGTAAGACAGCGGTTGGGCGTTTTTATAACCTCCCGATTGCCTTTTTCTTCACAGTATTGGATATGTCAAATTCGAATCTCGTTCCTGTTCAGCCAGTCAGTATGATGTTCACATGTCCTTCTGACCATACTCAATCTGAAAACCCAGTTATTTTTGGGTGCAGGTTCTCCCTTCCAAAAATGCTCGCCCGGACTCATGGAACGCCGGAGAGCAGTGCACCCCACTAAAGGGAGGCGAGGGACTGTTCAATAAGATCACGTTCGTTCACTTTTTGGTCACTACTCCATGCTTTCACCATTCTTCCTGTCAAATCCTCGTTACGGAGTTTGTTCCTGCCTTCCCAACGGGACACATAGCCTTACCGCAAGAAAGCGCACGAGCGATCGATCCTTATCGTGGGACTCGTCTTTGGAGGGGAGGAAGGTCGGCCGTCAGACATCCAATTCATTCCTTGTTACGTGATCAAATTTTTCTGAGCGTCAAGATAGAAGGATTGCGTAACAAAGGTGAAGAATGATCCAAGGTCGCTATTGTTTGCCTCCATCTCTTGGGCTTTAATTTACCCTTGACGCTGCGGGGAGACTTATGACCTGACTCTTGGGTTTCAATTATTGTGGTGGAATCAACGAAACAACGATAAGATTTCATGAATGCATTCCTAGGGAATACAGGTACATATACGAACAACTCAAACGAAGGTGAGCTCAGCCAACAACTCCATTCTGCCTAAATCTTGACGATCCATTCAGTCTAGAAATAATGAGCATTTTAGACTGGTCTTCACGACGAAATAAGATCACCTTTCTGGACATCGAACTTTGCAATAATGTCGACATTCAAAGAAGGTCTGTTGATCGCCTTGGCTTCTAATGTCTCTCCTGGAGAGAATATGACAACAATCTCGGGCGGGGGGAATGGCAAATGCTCTCGTTCCGCCCGGATGGAGTACGTCCCAGGGGAACTGAATGGCGGGGAAGTCCCGAAAGGGGGGATTCTCACTTCAATTGGGGGATTTTCCTGACTGACGAAAACGTTGGCGTGACGGTTGTTTTTGACCAGGAAGCTGGCTACGCAGTGCATAGCTATGTCAGAGGACAACCCGCTACGCAAATGAGTGGATATGTTAACGCACTAGCCATAGTTTGAAGATGATGATCGGGCTACCGTGACCATGATATGAAGGTCAGAATCATGCTCATATTGACGTCGACGAAAATGACCTACATATTTACAGGAGAGTGAAGTTTCTGGGTGGGGTAAAGTAAGAACGGCGGTTCGGGGGGTTTTATAACTCTTCAGTTGCACTTTTCTTCCCAGAATGGATATGTCGAATTCGAATCCCCTTCCTTTTCAGCCAGTCAGCAGTCCTGAGGATATTTACATGTCCCCGTGACAATGCCGATTCTGAAAACCCACTGCCATATCCGTCATTTTCCGAAAATGCTCGCTCGGACTCATGAAACGCCGGAGAGCAGTGCACTCCATGACCAAAGGAAGGCGAGGGACTGTACGATAACAACACGTTCGTTCAATCTTTGGTCACTACTACACGCTCCCACCATTATTCCCGTCAAATCCGACAGGCGTTTTCCCTCGTCTACCGTTGGCGCTCGTTACGGAGTTTGTTCCTGCCTGCCAACGAGTCCGATAGCCTTACGCAAAGAAAGCACACGAGCGATTGAACCTTGTCGTGTAAATCGTCTTCGGAGAGGGAAGATATGTCGTTGAAAGTGTCTTCAACTGCGACGCTTCGCCAATTAAATGCATGGCGCGCTCCCACACGTGTCACCGGAGTGGGTCGAGGGGTAACATTACTGCAGGAAAACTGAGTAGGCGACGGAGTGCTAGGAAATGGGGTTTCAGTGGTGGAGACGCCATGATTGTCAAAGGTCAGCCGTCAGACACCCAATTCGTTTCTTGTCATGTTTCAAAATTTTCTGAGCGTCAAGATAGAAGGTCTTGGAAGTCCGGGACTTCATCAATATGGGAGATGGGATGTGCCAGTGTTCACGGTGAAGACCCGTGTGTTGACTAACGCAGAACGCTCCTGTGCGAGACTCACTGGATTGCTCTGGATCAGGTGTTCACAGATAGGTGGCAGATCCTTCTCAGGTGTGTGAGGATCGCGCGGGAAGTTCGTTTGAAATGAGAGAAAGTATGTTTGGTATCCTCCCTATATTGTCCATCACTTTCAACCAAAGATTCTCAAAATGTTGGACTGCTCTAGGTGGCGAAAACAACACGGCATGAAGATCGGGATCATCGTATGCTCATTTTCGGTGTCAATATCCCGATTCACCTTTGCTCTCGACTCCCGCATCGCTTAAGGCCTCTAATATTCATTTTATCAAGTGTCCTGCCAAACGTGCTGGTCGTTGGCTAGTTGGTCGGATTTCACGCATACTGATCGTTGGAGGCCAGTTTCGACGACCTTTCAACCCAGGGTTCGCCTCATCGACGTCGACTTTCCGTCAGATTCTTCACTTGCTTACTACGTTTCCTCAGATCTATATGGCACCAAACTTAGAGTTAGTAGCTATCTCGTTTGGACGTCCGACGTAGGGCAGTTGGGTGCGGTACTAGATTGCTCCAAGGTAGATCATCCGACTTGTCTGTTCTGGCAACTGACCCCACAACTGGCACAGAAGTGTTAAATAGCGTCGGACGGTATGATGAGGAACTCTCAGCTTCGTTAACGTTATGTATACGGTAATGCGATCATGAATTGTTCTAATCACGACTGCGTGGTCTTGCGATTCCACATGTCGGTATTGACAATGAACATGCCCAAAGACGTGGGCTGCTTATAAAACAAAAAGCAACAACAGAACACGAACAATAAGTACTCTCTGTCTGGGAGTCGAACCCAGCTTTCGCGCGACAATGCATGTAATCTACTCGCGATGACAGGCGCGTGTACTAACCGATATACTAACAGAGATTGCATTGAGCAGAAGAAAAATATCATTTCTTGTTTGAATTCACTTTCGGGGTGAGAAACTAAAGAGGAAACCTCTTTCTCAAGAACAGTATAGGATGACTTTTGTGCGGCCCGAGCGCATATTACCGTCGCTGTCCGACGTTGTCCGCTGGCAGGGCTCACATACAGCATGACCTACACTCGACTCGCCACACTCGAGGCTGCCCATTCACAGTCTTGTATGTCCACATGTTCAGACAACCTTGACACTGTTGAACTGACGAAAGTCACTAGACGTTGAACGCGTTGCACTCCCCAAGTTCAACTCAGTAGGCTGGATCTTCGCCTGCGCACCATCCTCCCCAGCCCGACGAAGGCCCATCGACCTAAACAAACCCCCACCTCCACCTTCTCTCGCACAACATGGGCCCTACACCACAACAATCCATGGTCCCCGAGTTCTCCTCCTGCTCAACGACGATCCACCATAATATCCGGATCCCCACTCCGTACGGGTGGGTCGCGGACTCTGACGACCCGGCCTTTGACGATAAAGTCGACGAGCGGCTTTTATGGCACGGGAGCAACACGGGGATGTTTTATGCTACCAAGATCTGCTGGCGGAATCAACAGCGCATCCATTTGTTGCGGTCTGCGAATGTTGAATGGGGTGATACCACCTGATCGGAGTCGGATGGAGAAGAGTGGGGAGATGAGGGAGGTGAGGACGGCGACGTTGAATTCTGCTGTGATAGATGCGTTTGCGGGGAACCCGATTGCGTGTTCGAAGAGTGTTTGTCCGATATTGTTTGAGTGGAGGGATTATTTGTTTGAGTGGAGTGATTATCAGAGGGAGAAGGAGGCAGGGAGGCATAAGTATACTATTGATGTGCGTGTCTTTTTTTCTCTTTTTTTGGTCGAGAGCGAGAGGAAGGCTGACAGGCTTTTTCATATATTTTTTAGGTTGATGGGAATGGCTGGTCTGGTCGGTTTAAACGCCTCATGACGACCAATGCCCGTGTATTCAAGTCGACCATTTATCCCGAGTGGTGAGTCCCCCCTTTTCCCCTCCCTCTGTCCCCCATTTATAATACTAAAGCGATGTTGCTCGGTTGATAGGTCCACTGACCGCGTAGCCCCGTGGGTACACTACATCCCCATCCAACTAGACCTCTCGGACCTACACGACGCCCTCCTCTTCTTCAGGGGCGATGCGAATGGGGACGGGGCACATGAAGATTTGGCACGGAAAATTGCGGTTGTGGGACGGGAGTGGAGTAAGACGTTTTGGAGGGAGGAGGACTTGGCGGCTTATTTTTTCAGGTACGCTTTTTTTTTTTGTGGTGTTTTTTTTTTACGATTTTGATTTTGTTGATGGACACTGTGATGTGGATAGGTTGATGTTGGAAAATGCGCGTCTTATGAGTCCTGATTGGAATGCTATGTCTTATAAAACTGCGAAAGAGGAAGGGAAGGCTTGAGCGAGGGTGCATGGGGTTTAGTGGGTGCATTGTTTTAACTTTTCGTAGTGGGCGGGTGTGGTCTCTTTCTTGCTTACAGCTGAAAGCAGAACGATAGGCCACGGCAGATCGACACATGCTCAGGCCTCAGGGCGGACTCTTAAAATTTCAAAGCGACGTGATGGCTGGGGCCACTGAGTTCTCACAACGTGTTAATTTCAACCTCCGAATTGATGTCACGCTAGTACCACAGTAAAAGTTGAGAGTCTGCCCTATGTATGTGTCGATCTGGCATGGCCTATCGTTCTGCTTTCAGCTGTAATACCCACTGTGTTCTTTTAAACTAACTTACATATGTTGTGCAGTCGATACTAAGTAGATAGTAGTTCAAGCTGTATATGTAACCCCCTCTAGCTTGTGTGGTCTGTTCATGTGGTCTGTGGGTACCGGTTTGATGATCGATCTCGGTTGAGCAAGTAGCAGGCTCGAGCTCGGTCAGAAGATAATACCCTGTCAATGGTTTCAAAAGTTTGTCAAATGAGTTAGTGGTAACGTTCGATCAAGACAAAAAAAACAATTTTTTTTTAGTGACTCGGAGTCAGGGACCTGCCATCATCATAATCCGTCTTCAGGCGTCCAGTGAGGAGGGCAGGGTGGGGCAGGGCAGTGGACCCAATGGCCAATCAATGGCCCCACGCCGTACCACACGGAACTCGAATCAGTTCAAATCATCCGAGTCACAGGGGTTTGAATTTCTGATCAGGCTCGGGTTCGGCGAGGATGGAATTTGGGTGGGTTACTGGCAGCTGTTACGGACCTTACGGTGGGTGTAAGTAGGTGCACGTATCGTGGGTGTAAGTGGGTGCACACATCCGAGTCGCCTTTTGTTTGGAACGAAAATCAATGCGCAAAATTTGAGGGCGTTCTTGGGGCGTTCGCATGTCTTTCGATATCTTTCGTACGGCCCTTCGTGAACACTGAATACGGCAAAGAATGTAGTAGTGCGTGAGTCGAACAAATATTCAATGCCAAACATCGAGTCGGGGTTTCTCTTCGGATTTGTGACCAAATTCAGTTAGGTTTATTTGTGTGACTGTACAGCTGCATTTGCTTCTATCGAGTTTAGCTGTAACTACTGACAGTCCCCACCAAGTCCCCACAGTTGACTGACAGCCCATCATGCATCAGCACTTCAGCGCCCGAACAACCTGTGTGCCAATAAATACCCCATCACCAGCATGCTAGGTCCCTCAGGCAGGCCCTCTAAAGAAAACCGTCTTTTGCTATCCTCTCTATTATGCGCTGGTCGCTCATCCTATCCACCTTCATAGCTGCTCAGTTTGCGCTTTCTTTCGCCGCTGTCATACCTTCATCAGACCAATTGCAAAGACGGGCCCGGCTCAGTTCAGCTAGAGTGTCCAGCAAGGCCTATCGCAAGAATTCTGAAAATGCTCATTATGCGTACAAGTTCGATTTGGCAGGCAGTGTTACTCGCGAAAAACTAAAGCCATCAGAGCGACACCCCCATAATCAGGAAATGCTCATGATCCCGAAAACGGATGCCGGTATAGTTCCCTCAAAACGTCGGGCTGCTGATATAACTGAATTCTTTGTTCCGATTCATAGATCACATCTTTGAACATCAGATTCTCGATGGCTACCTCGATGACCATGGCCTTGCATTCGAGTACGTATCCATGTTCATCATGATGTGAGCGCCGCCTAATCTTTTACTCAGTAAACTGGACGCTGATCTCCAGGAGAATCTCAAACGCATTATCAATGGTCCAGGGAACATGGCGCCAGTGCCCGCTGGCGTCAATCGAGGAGTAAGGCTCTTATCCTCTGGAGTATGTATTGCCTGCGACTTACCCCACAATAGAAAGGCCAATTGGTCAAGCATGGGATGAAAGGCAAGGCCATCGCCCCTAAGAAAGTCCGCGATGAATACACAAAAGTCAGCTACAGAACTGCCAGGAAAACAGCTCAACAGCTCGACCAGGCATTCAAAGACGTGAGTTTATTCCAACTACTGGTATATCAATCTTTGATCAAACATCGACTTGCAAAGGGTGGCCACACTTTCGGAAAAGCAACCTTGCAACGCAAGCTACGGGGCGTGATGGATGACGCAAAGCTCATGAAGCCTAACGATCCCAGTCCGGCATCCTCAAGGCCATCGTCACCTGGTTCCAATGCTGGTTCGACCAAGGGGACTCCGAAGCGTCCAGCTCGTCCCTTCCCAGCGGGCAAACCGTCGCCGGCGAAGGTGCCAGCCAGGAAATCCGGTCGCGTTGCAGCAAAGCTGGCACTGGATTCGACCAAGGGGACTCCGAAGCGTCCAGCTCGTGCAGTGGGGAAACCGTCACCGGCGAAGGTGCCAGCCAGGAAATCCAGTCGCGTTGCAGCGAAGCTGGCACTGGGTTCGACCAAGGAGACTCCGAAGCGTCCAGCTCGTGCAGTGGGGAAACTGTCGCCGGCGAAGGCGCCAGCCAAAAAAACCGGTCGCATTGCAGCGAAGCCACTGGGTTCAACCAAGGGGACTCCGAAGCGTCCAGCTCGTGCAGTGGGGAAACCATCGCCGGCAAAGGCGCCAGCCAAAAAATCAGGTCGCATTGCAATGAACCCGTGACTGCCAGTGGTGGACTATACAGGGATGTAATGGGCGAGCTTTCTAGGTTGTAGATAGAAGCGAAGATGTGTAGTACAGGGATAATGCAATATATGTCTCTGAGAGATGGATCAGGACGAGTGTCTCAACCAGGCCGCAGGCAAACTTGAAGGACATGGGAGGTACTTAAATCTAAGGAACGTACAAGACTGCGCTATCACCTACATTTACTGTACTTCGCTCACACGTCCAACAAGTACAATTGGTTGGATAGCCTGACAGGGATGCTGTCCTCCCCATGTCTTGCCTGGTTCTGATTTTCTCACAGACACCTCCGTCTGTAAACCAACTGGAGAGGTTTTCCGGGAGAACACTGGCAGCGTGTGATATTCCAGCACACTGCAATGATACATCCACCAAAAAACGGTGCTCAACAAAAATGGTGAAGTCAAACAAATGGTTTGTGACCTATCAAATACCAGCGGATGCCGGTATTAATCCAGTTTGGACTGGGTTCTTCTTATGCCATAATACCCGGCCTCTTAAGTATATAACTACAGGTGTTTAAATAAAGTCTTGTCCGATTTTTCGCTTATGCGACTGTATTGTAAAACATATTATACATATGATAACTCTGACGCTCACCCTATTTAGGCTCCTAACACAAGTGAGCTCGAAGGCATCCATCTCCAACGATGAAATTTTGAAACTCCTTTGACTACCAAGGTCAAAGTCCAAGGTTCAAAATCAAAATTCGAGACCTCACACGGGGTAAGGAAATGAAGCCAAGATTCATCCGTTTGTTTCTATAGAAAGCTGCTTTACAAAGTTGTACTCAAAAAAGGTATCCATCAGACGGACACTCAACTCTCTGGCAAGTTCTTCAAGAGGCTTCAGAAAGCACGTCCAATGAGCTCACCAAACATCCTCAAGGCCCTGCTTGCGCAAAACCATGTTCTCGGTATAACAAGTGAGCAAACAAGTCATCCAGTGGATATGAAGATGCGGCATTTGTAAAAATGCAAGACTGGGTCAGCTTCTGTAAACAGATCCTGTTCGAGTGATGAGTGTCCCGGCCAGCGGGCTCGCAGTGCGTGGTGCGTAGGTCCAAGGAACAATACGCGAGCGAGTTACCGTCTACATCTACTGCGCACTTGGCCGCGAGGGAATGGAGCGAGCCCACTAGACCAACAAGTTGGGTTCCAAAAGTGGGCACAAATGCTCGGAAAGTCTGAAAGGGATGCTGTCGTCTCCGCAATGCGCTTGTATATTGTGCCATCTCCAACGTCTGGGGACTGAAAGCTCTTCAAAGACACCGTCGTCTCTAACTCCAACTCGAGCGGCTTTCCTGCAGAAATGCGTATGATTTCGTCACGTAATCCGACCCAATCTTGTTCAAGACAGCCACCAAAAGGGTGCTTGCCGGAGATGGAAAAGTCGAATGAGAGGTTCGTGATTTGATTGGATGCAGATATCTTACTGAGGACAATATTGATATCGCGGAGAGCACCGGACTCTTTTTCATTGAATTTTTTGATAATGGCGTAAAGCGCAAATACGCGCAGGCGTGAAAGATCTTTGGGGTTCAAAAGTCCAGCAAGTGGGAGTTGTTTACCTTTGTCGTCAGAAACGTGTCAAATTCGCTTCCCTTTATAAAAAAAAACACTGCACCTACGTTCACCCACGTGTAAGCTAGTAAGATACAGTTCCTCCAGAGTATCAGAAGTTGCATCGAGGATAGGTTGCAAGCAAGCCATTTCTTTCTCCTCGTGCGGGGATAGGGTCAGAACGCGTAGCTTTGACCAAAGGACCACTGGCGTATGAAACCTAGGCGGTGATGCGATCATCTGTTTGACGAGGCTGTGCGAGTCGCGGTAGTCGAAAACTTCCAGTGTTGGCAATGTTCGGTCTCGGCTAGAGCAATATTCCCCTGGATATTCATCGTAGCTCTCCTCAGTGACTCCCACGTGGTCAAGGCGTACTCTTCTCAACTTGGGGCAGATGAGGAAAAGAGGCAATGGCACGTTCTTGCATTCGGTGAGGTGGAGGGTAGTCAGGGTTTGCGAAAAGAATGATTGCGTGAGCCGTCCCACGAATAGTAAGGGGTCCTCGATTGTTAATGGACAGGACATAGGTCCGCCGAAGCGAAGTTCATGTGGTGGCATCGGCGACTTGGCGAGCAGTTGGAGGATGTTGATGAGGGTGGGATCGTTGAGAAGCCATCCATTTCGTTCGTGCAAGACATCAATATGAATCACACGTACACAGTTGGCGAACGAAGGCTTGTCGTTTAAAATCTTTTTCATTTTTGCTAGCTTCCTCCCTATCTTTCTCTTGGTTGCCGAACCTGTGCCCAGCTTGAGGCTCCGGAAGATGTATGTTTGGCATAAGTGGGTAAATGCCCGATCCGTAAGGGAGAGATTATGGAGTCGTTCATCCCGGAGGGTTGAGATATGTTCGACGATGTAAGCAAGCAAATCGTATGAGAGGAGAGAAAGCGGCGGGTTCAACATGATAGTCAAGATCAAGACCAAACACGGCAACCAACTTTGTGTGCAGGTCTACAACAACGCTTGGCCACACAGCCCATGTCCGAAAAGGTTTTTTCTGTCTAAATCTCATGAGAATGACGGAATTTGCGGTCATCTGAACAATGAAAACGGGTATGTCGCAACGAAAATCTGAGGCGCTGTTCTCATCGTGCCTCTAGTAAAAGCCCATATAATGCTTATTTGCCACCTCCCGCGTCCCACTCAATGACGAGAGAGAGGGATGCTGCTATCATCGCCTGCCGTCAGCATCTCGTCGCCATCGATAGGCTCGTCTTGGCTAACATAGGCTAACACCGTTGCATCAATAGCCTTTCACATTCGCGACATCTTTTCTCACTTCTTTCAATGAGCCTGCAGTTATTTTGAGGTTACCGCACGCGACCGACGTGCCTTCGTGTTCAGCGACGCCTTTCTGACACCCAGTTTTAATCCACAACTAAAATACCGAAAGCTCTAGTGTACAAATTCGCGATACGGGTACATATCTTTTATACAGCAAAGATAAGTATAGTTGACTTCGAAATCAGACAAAAACGAGGACACGGTAGCTATCCGAAGTGAGTTCTTCATAGTTATAACTTGAAGCAAAGCGACCTGGGCGTATACTGTTAGTGCCAAAGGCGAATGAGGGTGTCAGAGACCCCACCAAGATCGCCCTCCTTGACTTTGCCATAAAGTGTGTAGATAAAAGAATTAATAACAAACCGGTCCTGCGCAACAAAGAGTGGTTCCCCATCAGCATCCCTACCCCCCCTAAGCAGAGCAAGCTAGATGAGAATACAGGCGATTTGGTTTGAATCGAGACTCACAGAACGGGTATAGCATCACCGAGTTTACTCAGAGAGAATGTTCCGGAGACTGAAAGCCAACTTGTTTACTGTCCCACCATAATTTCGAATGAACGTTTGGGAATCGAGACAGAGATGATGAGGTGAGACTCGGTTTTACAAGTATAACTAACCGACATAACCCTCCCCTCACGAGTAATAAGCATATGAGTCCTGTGCTGAATTAATATACCGGGGTCTGGCAGGCAGAATGTTTCAGCGTTAGCTTGGGCTAAAATTGTGATAGATTTGACTGACAGATGGCACCCTGTTGTTCACTCGTTAGCTTTAAATCCCTGAAGACTCAAGCAACTCGTGTACCCACCAGGTAGGGGGCACGGGCGACATAAACATCGACAGTCACCATCCTTCCTCCCACAACTATATCGGCGGGCAATACTCCCGTTCGCTCAACAACCTGGCGTCACAGCGTGTCAAGAAGAAACAAGGACCGAGGGAGCATGCCTACCCAACGGGCGGTTGACCGGATAACTGAGGCAGGGCTTTCGACGCCATGACTTATTGACAGCTAGAGAAGTATAGTTAGCGACGAGGGCAGAACAAACTCGAGAACGACGCACGCCTCTTCCCCAATGATCCTTGCAGTACTGTTCGAATTCGTTCAAGGCAAGATATTGAGGTTTAAAGTCAGAACCAAATTTCTTTTGAATAATACTCATGGTAATCATGTAGTCTGGTGAAGCGAGCTGCTGAGGCGAATATCTAACGCTCTCGTGGAAGACAGATTGCTGGACAATCTGATTGCTTTCGAGACGTGTTTCATGTCCAATGATCGGCCGCAATGCAATGGGAGTATCCTTGTAGGCGTTGTGTGGCTGAGACGTTCCCCATGGGTTGGGTTTGACTTGGGCAAATGTTCGCAAGAACTTGAGATCAATGTCAATGAAAGATTTAAGCTTTCCCTGACAAACAGTTGGCGCAGGGAAAGAATATACAACCAAAACAAAACATACTGTCATCCAATAGAGACTGATATCAGCCAGCTCATGGCGCTCGTAGCGCCCTCCAACATCAGAGTGAGCACCAACAAACCAAACCTAGCGCGAGATCAGTAATTCGAAAATTGGTGTCACGAATAGAGCTTGCCTGTTTAAGAACTTGATTGGCTCCCAGACCTCCCTTCGGAATGGTCCACAACGTAGGAAGGAATTTCATTCGATTTTCTTGCAAAGATATTGCGTGAAGAGCGACCTTGATTGTTTTTGGAAGATCAGTATCGACAATGCTCAAGGCATCGATTTCCTTGTAGACGGAGCCAACGGTGTCCCAGACTCCAACGCATCTAGTAGAAAACCGGTCGGTGTTGAGTAATGCGACATTTAGTTGCGACCATACTTGATAGTAGGGCGCCGAGTATCAGGCGGGATCTGGGGCGTTTTATCGTCCACCAGTTCAAGCCAGATCTCAAAGAAAAACCCAAGTTGTTCGCGAGTCAACAAACCAATCCGATCCTATAAAGCCGGTAGGGTTGGAAAGTCATGCTGACGATAAGTCATAGACAACCAGGACTCACAATCAATCCAGCCAATTTTCGAGCTGTGTAAGCGCCCCTGTGATCGCCCAAGTAAAGATGACATTTCGGACATAGAAAAGGCGAATGGTTTACCTGGAAAACCTTTAAAAAACGATTAATTAATGTTTCATCTCTGAGAGGAAATGTTACCCAAAGAGGCAGATTTCGTCTCCGTCATCAAAGTTCTGAGCAATGAAAACATAAGCATCGCGTATTTTGCTCGCTGTGAGAAATGAGATTTCCTTATTGCGATAGACGACGGGGTGGGCTTACCGACAGCGGTTCCTAGGGCCTCTATTTACCGTTAAGTTACGGTCAGCGAATCGTATCGAGATGCAATCATGGGCGACGGTTACATACGCATAGCAGTCGTGCCAGTTATCTGATCACCCTTGAAAGTCGATTCAGACCCCACGCCGCTCTGATAAAACGCGATTTGTCGGTTCCCGTTCCTAGACGACCAATGAATGAGCTGGAAGTAAATTACGTTTTTCAAGATATGCCTACGCATCATGACTTTTGATAGAGCGCGCTTCATATTTCAGCAGATATAAGTCGCGCAGACCTTGTGACATAGAAATAAAACCTACAGAGACGGATTACGTTCGTAGCATACTGAACATTACCGCCTGCTACATCTTCAATGCCTATGCCTGGCAAGGGCTCGTCTCAATGATCCAGCAGCCAAAGGGGTGAACTTACCCGTAAGTGACTGAGCTAGTAAAAGAGTCAGACGTGATATATAGCGGTCACGACATAAACATACTTGAAAATTCGAGGCTGTCCTCGTCGATTTTTTCGGATTCTAAAAGAGATAAGCATCGCGTAAATATCTAGAAACATAACTTACTCAGTTGAGGCAAAGCTTCGTCCGTACGAATATGGGTGCCTTCAAGGCGAGGCAGATATTGGGGTTTAAGGCTGGAGTCAGCGAGGGTAGAGGAAAGTTGCAGAGCTAGTAAGATGTTTGAGCAGGGCATGTAATGCCGGTAATGATAGACACCCACCTGCTGCCTCCACGCTGTCCCGAGCATTGACGTCGGATTCTAGTAGAGAGTCAGCCAAGCCAAGAGGAAGTTAACGTTACCTACTAGGGGGAGCCAAAGTTCCGTCCATGCCAGTACCGTCGCAGAAAATAAGCAGGGTTTTTGGGGCCATGCTGAACGTAGTAGCTTCGGATGGGAGTTCTGTGAGAATCCTATAGGTACTTGAGGACGGCGGCTTCTACCTTTAATATCGTAGCAACTGGTCAGCTGATAGGTGAGTATCAATCACTCTGTCAGCTGCTGAAGCCTAACGGATGTTGAGAAGCTCTGAGAGGTCCTCGAAGGCACGATGCACCGGAGTAAGCCTATTGCTGGGTCCTTCAGAAATACCGAAACCAGCCTAGGGGTAGTAATTATGCTCCCTCACATGCTTCAGCACCCTCCGGAGAATAACCCGTTTCCAGTCGTCGACGACAAGGCAGTAAGTGGAGGTTGAGTGGATTTGGAGCTTGAATCCGATCTACATCGTGGTTCCTTGTCTGTCACGAGATGCGATTCGTGAATGTAGCTTTGTGGCCATGCGTTCTCAAGCTCAAGAGTGACGTGGGATCGCAAAGGAAAGAGCGATTGTAGAGCACTTGAAGGGGATAATGCAAGTCGAAGCAATGTCCATAAATAAAAAGGCTTAGCGGCGATAGCGTCGAAGGCAGAAGAGAGAAAGAACAAAGCATCTTTGAAAAAGGCGATGGCGGCGGGTGGTGTCATAGCAGAGAATATACCAACGGGAAGCCGAAAGCGAAAGCGGATTCCGGATAACGATATCGACATTGATGAGGGTGATCGATGCCGTGGTATGTTCAAATCACCTATGCTGCAGGTTAGCAGCAAGTTTATCGAATAGCCGCTGACAGACGAAGCTGTTGAGCACATGTCAAGCAACAGTCATCGAGAGCATCGAGAGCCTTGTGCACCAGGTCAAACAAGCTATAGTATTGAGCGTCGGGGTGACATCCATCATTTCGAGTGATCTTACAGTCACATTTTGGACAATTGGCGGTGTAACCTAACGTTTGCCTATCATTTTATTTTCAAGAATCCAGCGAAAGATATCGACGCACGTACTTATCAGAGTAAGTGCAAAAACTTTGACTCAGCAGTTATTCATGGCGAGGTGTAGCTGTACAACAGGATTCATATTGGGTCATTTTAGCTCCAGGCGCGTCTTCGAAGCAAAAAGTCCACATACCTAACGTTAACCACTCCGACGGAGCCCCACGATATTCAACGCATTCGATATCATGCGTGTCAATCACCGGTCATCTTCACCATCGGACACGTAATATCCCAAGAATACCCTGAGGCATGAAGGATGAAAGAATTTCGTCAAAATCATCTCGGCAAGTATAGATGAGAATTGTCCATGTCAACGGTAAGGCCGACCGACGCAAAGCTGACGACGACGTCAAAGTGGCGGAAGCGAAGATTTGAGGTGAGTATCTTGAGAAAAAGGGGAGAAACCTCAACGCCTCCTTTGACGACCAGGATCTAGACGATGGACACTATTCCGGGAACTTCGTCGGTGGGCAAAACTGCAGTCCCAGGTCCTCATCTCCCTGTCCAGTCGTGTCCCTTCGTCTAAGTGCCCCGCCGCTGATGGTCCGTCCTCGAGCAAGCGGCGGAAGGCAGGAACTTTTGTGCTCAAGCTAAAGAGCAGGGGACTGGGCAACAAATGCTGAGAAGACAAGCAAACTGAGTAAGAATAAAGGCAGTTCGGCTTGAAGTGAGCTGGACTTACAGAAGAGGACTGAGATATGTGACGCTGTCATGAAGAATAGATTGGTAGCCAATCTGATCGCTTTGTAGACCTGTTTCATGTCGAAGTCAGATGGGTCGCAAGGCGATACTAAGGTCTGCCAGCCTGAGGCTGAGTGGCCGGGCGTTGTGTGGCTGAGACGTTCCCCCAACCTCGCCGTAGGGTTCGGGTAGAAGTCAAAATCGTTGCAAAATCAATATCAATGAGACTTGGTTCCTCCACTGGTTTCTCCCTATAATAGATTAGTTGGTGAAAAGGAAAAACGAACAACTAAAGAATACATTTCCTCAGGGTGAGAAAACCTAACGCGTTCGTGACAATGAATGTCACACCTCTCTCCCTCAAATAAAAGAGTCAAGCTGCTGCTTTGTGGTAATTGAAAGTACGATGGATTTTATGCCACTCGAGCCCATATTACCGTCGCTGTCCGACGTTGTCCGCTGGCAGGGCTCACAGACAGCATGTCCTGCACTCGACTCTCTCATCCTCGAGTCCGAAATAACAGTTCGACGTAAGTCTTCACGAACATCCTTCCAATACCCCTCATTCTAAACCGATCCCCAGCAACAAGAAATAACACTCCTCGAGTATCACTCTTTGCCGAGGCTCCCCTAGCTTCCAGCTCAATAACACCCGCCAACACCACTCGTTCCTCCTCCCGCCTCCGACCCCGCCACTCAGAACCAGCCGCGCCACCACCCACCACAAGCTTCCTCAACCCCCGTCTAGACATATTCGAAGAGAACGGACCCACCAAATTCCTAAATTTCGTCAAAGTGGTCTCAGCACGCGTAGACGAGAACGTCAATGCGAATGCTGCAAACGGGTCGGGAAAGAAAAGCTCAAAGAGGAAACAGAGATCCGTGAGCGTGAGCAGCTTGACTGCTGCTGGGATGTTGAAAAAGGGGCGAACCGATCCGATGACTGTGCAGCCGTCGTCGTCTTTGAGGAATGAGGTGGGCTGGAAGGGGAAGTCGAGGGCGTTGATTAGGTCCGCGTCTGCTACGACGTCTGGTTATGACGACGACGATTACTCGCTCATGGACGTGGATATGAGCTTTGGGAGTGGTATGGACGTGGATGTGCCCCAGGCTTTCTTTCCTCCACCACAGACGAAATCGGCATCACAGATAGATATGCCGCCACCTCCTGCGCCTCCCGTGAAACCAAAGCTGTGGGGTGCTGAAAGCGGAGAACTACGCATGACGCGTTCGAGTGTTGTGTCCTCTTCCACCACCACGAAGCCATCCCCGTCTGTGACGGGAGTGGCTTCTGCATCCTCTTCCTCAAGGATGAATACTTCCTCCTCCTCTACATCGCAAGCCTCCTCCTCTACAGCACGCCCGACTTCCTCTTCCTCTACAGCACGCCCGACTTCCTCTTCCTCTACAAATTACCCAACAACATCATTACTGACGAGGGCCGGCACCTGGTCTTCCAACTCCAACTCCAACTCCAACTCCAGCTCAAGAACCACAACCTCACTGCCTCCAGCAACGCCCAAATCCGCTACCGTCCTTCCTCCTCCTAGAACCCCAACAAAGAGCGGCTTGCGGTCATCCTCACCTCGTCCTTCAAAGACCAGTGCGAAGGGTCCAAATCCGAATTCGAACGCTGTGCCATCTAACGAAAAGGGCGCACCAATACAAACGCGTCCACCGGTACAGGTCCAAACGCGTGCAGCACCAGCACCGGCACAAACGCGTCCTCAGCCTCAGGTACAAACGCGTCCGACAGGACAAACGCACATACCTCCTCCTTCCCGTCCCTCTCCGCCCATCCCTCCCCCCTCGTCATCTCAACGCCCACCATCATCACAACACCCCCCAGCCCTCGGCATGCGTCGGACGCACACGCTCCCTCTTCCGCCTGCTTCACAGTCGGGGGAGTTGCCGAGTAGGCAGAGGAGGTTCAAGCCGCCTTTGTTGGGTGCTCATGGGAATCAGGGTGCGCTTTTGTCGGGAAGTCAGGGTGCGAGGAATGGAGTCGTTGGTGGTGGTGTGAAGAACAACGGTCCCTCTGTTGGTGGTGCCCCTGTTACAGTTACGAGCAGGAACGCTCCACCCGCACCTGCGCCACCGCCGTCGTCCTTCCCTTCCTCTTCCAGCGGGGACTCGCCACAACGTTGTGGTGGGTACCGGTCGTCCCCGAGCTCAGCGGACGATTCGGATGTCTGTGTTACGCCTGGTGTGTCTGTGTCTCATGGTCTGGGGGTTCAAGTCCGACATGACTCTTCGGGGTCGAAGTCGAAGTCCGTGATAACTTCAAAGCCGATTCCGAATTGTTCAGGTGTACCTCCAAAGCCGAATTGTTCGAGTGTAACCTCGAAGCCGATAGCCTCAAAATCCAACTCGAAATGTGCGCAACCAGACGAAAATGATGACGCTTCGCTGCTGATGGTAGAAGACGACCCTAACGATTCGTCGTTTGGGGATATTGATATGTCGTTTGATATGGATGCGTTGGAGGAGACTATGAAGATGTATGATTGACGCGGTTCCCATCCAGTGCTGGGTCGATGTGGCACTTTGGGTGTAGTTTAACGCAGGGTGTCGTTGGGTTGGATAACTTCTCGCTGGCTGGTCGTTGTCGCCTGGTGGCCTTGTCGTTGGCAAAGTCTGAGCCAGATCACACGCACTTCGTTATCCCTGCTATCCCCATCCTCAGGGCCATCAACGTCCTCCCCCGTATGCATCGGCGTCGTTTTTGTCGCCGTCTAATAATCCTCTTTAGATCTATTTATCTCCCGTACCTGTACTCACCATCTCTAATGACAGACATCACCATTTCACTCACAACACCCGTCCCACTTCACTTCAACCATTGTATACAACATACGGACGGACAATTACAATCGTATTATACCGAATCATGCAGTTCAAAAATAATCCAAGTTGTTGCATAGAGTATATTTCTCTCAGATAATTGTTTTACGTTTTATTTTCTTGTACATCTGGAAAACACTTCGCGTGTGGAAGGTCTGGCACGTTTGATGTGGTGAATTTACCTCGAAGGACTTCGAAACTTTCTCTTTCTGAAGTGCCATCATTCAATATTCAATATTCAAGTTGTTGAAAATTGCAATAACTATCAATTTGCTTTCAATTCCATCAAACGGATCTAACGTTCGAAAAATGGCAGAGTTCGGATTTCAAGAACACGGTTACAGGTACAGATTTCAGTCACTAGAAAGCGATACTACGACACATTTGGGGGGATTCAAAACTGAACAACGCGATATGATTTTATGTTTCTTCCTATTAATGAAGGAACGAAGCGGTAAGGAATTGAATCCAGAAGGAGAGCCTGTCTTGAACATACCTGACCCCCGTTCACTGAAGCACGGCACTGATATTGAAGTTTCCGTTGATATAACCCGTTGCCGTGGTGGTGGATAAGAGACGAGTGGCGGGATAGGCGACTTGGAAAAAAATAGCGGGGGCGCCGGACTGCCTAATGGTGTACGTTCCAAAAGCGAAGAAGGTCCCGGTTCCCTGGGAAGGAATGGGGGTGACCGAATTGTCGGGAGATACAACCTCCACGGGGAAAGTGTTGATGTTCCTGATGGTGAAATTGGAGACGAGAGCTATCAAGAAGGTCATAATCAGCTTGGGTCACCAATTCTTCGGCAACATCGGATGTGGAAGAGTGATACATACACATGTTGCGAGGTTCAAGTTAACTGGAGTGACAAACAGTGAGTTCATGGTGATGGAATGTATGAATGTGTGTAGTACGTACCAGAAGGAAAGCTTTGAGTCAAGTAGTTGGTGGGGGTACGGTTGAGGCAAGGCAGTAGCATGACAGGCCTTATATGCAGTGGGGTGGTACTGATGTCGACCTCGAATCTCCTTTCCTGTTGGCCGGTCAGTGGCATGTTCGCATGTCGTTGTGACAAGCTCGATTCTGAAAATTTACTGACATGTCTGTTATCTCAGTGGCGTGCTGCTGGAAGTCTCCTTCCAAAAATGCTCGCTCGGACCCATCATACGCCGGCAAGCAGTCCATGGCTAAACGAAGGCGAGGGATTGTTTGATAACAACACATTCGAATTTCGAATCTCTGATACAGTTGATCGTTGTGTCATGTGACCACGTGACAACCCTGATTGTGAACATCCACTGTCACGTCTGTTACTCGGGGTGGTCCTCCCCTTCCCAAAATGCTCGCTCGGACTCATGGAACTAGGGACTGTCATGGATACACCCGGGTATTAACCGTACCCGATCCACGGATTTTCCCACCCACGGATCAGATAAGGCACAGTACAGATATATCCGTGGGTAAAACGGCCTGAGTGGCTGAGGACATAGCTTCAGTTATATAAATGGGTGTATCTCATTCATTTCTCGTCCGTTCTTTACAAAAAAAATTGCGTTATGAAGCGAAAATTCAGAAGAATTCATATTCAAACAAAATTCATTCATATATTATCTAAATTGAGTACATTAAAACTAAAGTTATACATATATCGTAATTTGAGGTCTTTCCCCTCATATAATGCTGATGTGACTGAGCCTTGATCACAGAGTGTGTTTTGGGGTGTGTATTAGCATGCCTGGGCCACTCTGAAACTTGATATTTAGGTAGAGGTATTGAAAGAACAATTTTGGTGACATAAAGTGTTACAAAAAGCTATTCAAGAGGAAAAGAAATCATTGTCCATCTTTTTTTCAATCATTTTTGTAACTTTATTGAAGCCTGGGTAGAGGGGGGATTTAATCCAGGATCCAAGGGCCATTTCTGCTCTGAATGTTTGAGAGTTGATATTGTGCTGGGTGAAATTGATCTGACAGCGACCAGTGGAGAATGCTCGCTCTGCATCCACAGAAGTAGCTGCAACAATTGTTGAAAATAAAGGAAAATGAGTGTGAATAATGGTGCTTACCTGGGGCTGAGCAGAAATCAGAACCCATTTGTGAGAGTCGTGGTCAGGACTGTGATGCATTGTGCCAGTACATCATATAACCTCCCATTTCCTTGATTGTTTCCGTTGCTACCCTGGGTTCATCAAGGTAAGTTTGAATGTGGTCCTTAACAAACTGATTTTCTTTTGGTGCATATCATGATCGCTTTGGCTAAAAATTCAATTCAATAACAGGATTTCAAAGATATTTTTACCAATTACCTTGTTTTCCTCCTCTCTCAGCTCATTCTCCTCTTCACCTGCATATACACTGTCCCAGTAATCACATACTATACTTTTTATGGACTTGATTTGTTGGAGGTCATGACCATGGTCTTGAAACCATTTGAGTTTACGATCAGGACACATCACTGGTAAATATATAAGAAATAAATGTAGAGATCAAGCTGGATTCTTACCAATGGCGACTATGTAAATATCACAGGCTCCAGAAAAGGCAGAATACTTATCAACAAGAAGAACTGCAGCATGACAAGCAACCCAGACAACATTGGCAGGGTTGTTCTCCTGATCATCTCTTGCAGCAATCAGCCCTTCACATAAGGTTTCTAGAGTTGGGAGAACATCCACAACAAGTGGTGTTTCTGCAACTGAGAAGATTTTTGTAATGTCACTAAAAAGCTGGTAAAGTGGAATATTTAGATTTCAATCTTGAATACTAAATAAAACATACCAGGAGAACCTCTTGCACATCAGAAGCAATTTCCCATTGTTCTTCTGTTAAATGATATGCTTGTAGTCCATTCGATGATACAGCTGTAAGTTGCTCAATAATGTCATGGAAATAGAAATGAGCATCCAAGCATGCAAGATCATAATTCCACCGAGTTGGAACTTGTTGGGTGAGTGCCCTTTGCTGGCCATGTAACTCTTCATCTGCTGAAACCAACCTCTCAAACTTCTCTTTCAGAACAGCATTATCATGAACACGGCGAGCAAGGCCAGCAACCTGCATGATATTAAAAACTGCATAGGAGGTGGAAATGAAACTCACCTTTGGAAAAATCTGAAGAGCTACTTTTTCTTCTCCTGAGTCAATGATAATCCCATTGGCTGCCATTTGCTGAATCGCCTTCTCTCTCAATGTCTTTGCCACCTTTTCATTGTGTACTGTTTGCCCCTCATCATTCTCTGCTTCATCTTCCTCAACATCTGCCTCTTCAATGACTGCAATCTCCTCCTCATCCTCTGAATCATCACCCTGTTCAAGAACAATTTCCTCTCCTTCACTAAAATCCTCGACCTCTCCTGCTCGATGAAATCCTGCACCCACATTCTTTGTACTTGCAGCAACTTTGACCCTCTTCTTTCGCTTTGGTTTTTTGAAAAAGAAGGATATAAATATCTGTGAATGAAATGAGGCTGAGTTAATAAAATATTGAGAAATATATATAGCATTACCTTAGCAATCAAATTTACAATGTGAGCCAGACAGCGAAGCCGAGCATCTCTCCCCAGAATGTGG